CAATCTCTACCTTCCTTTAACTTCTACTCATTGGTCTTATTCCCTGTAGAGAAAGGCTAAGTTAAGTACTTCTTCCATGACATTTTTTTTCTATCTTTCATGACACAAAGGGCATGGTGGTATAGTGGAAAGAAAGCTGGAGTAAGAGTCCTCAGACTAAAGTTTGAAGATGGGCTCCATTGCTACCTATGGGAACCACCTATGGAAACATAGACAAGTTACCTAATCTTTCTGGGGTCTCAATTTCTTCAAGTGTACAATACTGAGGTTGGCCTACATGACTTCTAAGTCTGCTTCCAAATTTAAATCTGTTATGCTCTGACCTGTCCTTTTAAAATCATCTCATCTCCAGTTACTTCAACCATCCTTTATATGACATTATTTTTATGATGACCTTTTTACAAGAAGCCTTCCTCAATCCCTCTGAATTCTAGAATCTTCCCTGTTAATTATTTCCTATTTATCCTGAATATATCTTGCATTGTATATATTTGTTTGCGTGTTTTCTCCTCTATTGAATTGTAAGCTGCTTGAGGGCAGAGACTTTCTTTTATCTCTTTTTGTATACCCAGTGCCTGGCATATAGTAGGAACTTATTAAATTTATATTGATTGATTATTGATTGACAGGGATTCCCATCCTTCTTCCTTTTAATTTCCTTCATTCATGTTCCAGTTTAAAAAACATAGACCTTCCTTAGAAATGTGGTATAGGGAGCTGAAGACCATTAATATTGTCCATGTGATTTAATGACTTCAGAGTATGGGGGAATACCAGGCTTTCTTGTTCTGCATATCACTGTATACTGCTCCCAATGCAGCTGAAGGTTATAGTAGCTATTTTTGGCTGTCACACTACTATGCTGGTTCATCTTGAATTTGTGACCTACTAAAACCATTCAATTTTTCCATGTAACCTACTCTCTAGCCATGTCTCCATTATCCTGCCATTGTGTGGCTGCTTTTTTGAGCCTGGGTGTAGGATTTTACATTTATCCCCAACTACATTTTGTTTTTACTGGAGTTGGCCTATCTTTCCAGTTATGGTTTTTTGTTTTTTTTTTTTTTGGTATTCTGAGTCTATTCTCTATTTTTCTCTATGTCATTCACAAAGTTGAAAAGCATGCCATCTCATCTAGATCTTCATCTAAATTACTGATAAAGATGTTGAAGAAAACAGCTGAGGATGGAGCTGTAGAGTAGAGGCTACCTTCCAGGTTGATACTGGTCCACTGATTATTTTTTTCTTTTTTAAATATATCGAGATATATGTATGTATGTGTGTATGTATATATATAAAACCTTATTTAAAATTCTCCCCATATCCCTCTCCCAAGAGAGTTTAAAGAAAGAATTTTTAAAAGAAAAAGACAAATTACCCAAACCAATCTGTCCGTGTGTCTATAAATCTGAAAACATATACAATATAAAACAATCATGAAATCTTTCACCTCTGCAAAGAAGAGGGGGAAAAGTATCCAGAATATTCTTATTATAATTTTTTTTTTTAAAAGACATATTTAGGTACAATGGGATAAACACAAGCAACCAGATTGTGCAATGGTTAGGATCATTGGACTTAGAAATCAGAAATCTTGTTTCCAAATCCTGCCTCAGAGACTAGATGTGGCATGACCCTGGGCAAGTCATCCAAGCTCCATCTGCCCCAGTTCACCCATCTGCAAAATGGAGCCATTAGACACTGGTCCACTGATTCATATTTTTTTCAAAATAATTAAACCAGTTATAGATCCACCTAACATTTCTCCATCATGGCTATAAAATGCCTTGTTGCAATAATCTCTGGATTTCGGTCCAAAAATACTATGACCAGTCTTTAGTTTCATAATCATTTTTTAAAAAAGAGGTGAATTTGGAGTGATTTATGTTCATAGACCTATGTTGGTTCTCTGTAATTAAGTTGTGACCACTGTCTAAGTCAGAGACTATCTGATAATCTGTTCCAGAATTTTGCTGAGGATAGAAGCAATCAATACCTTCAGGCTACAGTAAGATAGCCTACAAAATGAGTAACCCCTTGGGCATGAAGAGAATTAATCTCTGTTAGGTATCGAAAGTTGCATATCAAGCATATAGCATTTTTTTTTTAAATGACCCTCCCAAAGTACTTTCTGGCTTTGAGAAAAGGCTCAGTATTATTAATCTGATAATTATCCCAGTATTATATAATTAAGCCTCAGGCCTACTTTACTCATAAAGAATCACATGGCAAGTTCTTTGAAGCAAGAACAAAACCATACTAATGGTGTAAAAAAGACTTGGCTAATGTATAATTTAGTTCATTTATTAGTCAAATATTAGAACTATCATTGTACTCTGCATCTCCTCCATTAAGTATGGATTTCTTTGAATACTTAAGAATCCGTGCTTTTACTTTTCGGTAAAAACATTAAGGATTTTCTTACGGAGTAAATCGGATAGTTATGTGACAGTCATTGAAAGGCAAGGATGTTGTTATACTATAGAAATCAAGGTGTGCTTTAGACTGAGAAAAAGCTAGTGTCTAATACATATCAAAGGTAATTATGAACTGGCTTTGCATCATTTATTCAACACAGCCAAATGATCATTATTAATAACACCCTGGGCAGAGATAATCTTGTCAGTCTTGCAAGGAGTAACAATTCCACAGGCATAAAGAGATAGCATCCCACAGTTAGTATCTTCCAATTAGTGCCAATCACACTATAGAACATCATATGGGGCAAGTGTGTTTGTTAGAGGATTATGGACAATTACGTCTGACAGCAGAAAAAAAAATCAGCTATTATAAAATAATTTGAAGACCTTCAGGTCTCAGCAGCTTCTAATGGTTCTCATCCTGGCTATAGAAAATAAAAGCTCCTACTACATTGGCATGCTGTACTGAGAGAGATTATTTTAGATGCTTCAAAAATGAATTCTAGAAATCAGAAAAACGCTAAAAAAAAAACCTTGTTACCAGCCTTTGCTTAGCTATAGTTCAGAGGGTTGTCAATATTTTCAACAGCATTATTAAATATTTCTATAATTCTCTGGGGTCACACACATACAAGCACAAAATATGTTGGGGCTGTTTTATATCTGAAAAAATGTGGCTGCAAATATTATTGATATTCACGCACAGGAGGTGAAAAGGACATGATCTCCATGTAACCTGGAGTATTTCCCAGATCACATGTCTATTGTTGGCAGTTAATTGCTACAACCTGCCCTGTCTTGGCTAAGAGGCACTGCCATCAATACACCATATAAATGTGGGTTTCTTAAATTACTCATAATGGTACAAACTTAAGAATCATTCTACTGTAATCTGGCATCATTCAAGGTTGACAAATCACTGAGGAGCATGAATATGGTTCTGGCGAAGTTAGGCTACATGAAAAAAAAACTAATCAGGTTATCTTTTGCAGTTCTCTTTAGCATTCCAGGCTCAAGATAATACATTTAAATATACAAATAATAAACATTTTTCTTTCTGAGGAATGCAGCATTACTAACTCATTCTCTTTTGAAAATCGATGAACCCAAAATAAAGAAATGTTCACTGTAAACTACCCAATAGACAAAATGTTCAAAGTAGCCAGGTGGTGCAGTGGATAGACCACTTGACTGGAGTCAGGAAGACCAGAGTTCAAATCAGACCTGGAGCTGTGTGACCCTAGGCAAGTTGCTTAACTTTGGTCTGCCTCGGTTTTCTAATCTGCATGATGAGAAATGAGGATATTATTCTCAATTAAAAGAAGCAAAGTTACACATTTAGGCTTCAAAATATAAACTCAAGAAATACATATTAAAAGGAGCATGGCTATGCAACATTCCCTTTGATAAACGTCCAAGGGTTTTACTGGACTGCAAGGATTGTATGAGGATAATAACACTTCCCCACCCCACCCCCCGCCCCCGAGCATCACTGTGAGGCTCAAATAAGATGCCACTTATAAAACACTTTGCAAACTTTAAAGTGCTATATAAATTCTAGCTATTGGGTTGTTTTTTTTTTGTTTTTGTTTTTTGTGAGGCAATTGGAGTTAAGTGACTTGCCCAGAGTCACACAGCTAGTGAATTTTATGTGTGTGAGGCCAGATTTGAATTTAGGGCCTCCTGACTCCAGGGCCTGTGCTCTATTCACTGTGTCACCTAGGTGCCCCGATTCTAGCACTATCATTATTAATCAATAAACACTTATTAACTGCCTACTATGTGCTGGGGACACAAAAAAAGAGCAAAAGACAGTCCCTGCCCTCAAAGAGATTCCAATCTAATTATTACTGTTGTTGTTAAAAAGAGTCAAACTTTGTATCAAGATGACATGTTGACCGGAGGTTTTCAGTGAAATTAATCAATAAGCATTCACTCAATGCCCACCTTGTGCAAAGACAAAAATGACATAGTCCCTGTTCTCAGGAAGCTTTCAGTCTACTAAGGGAATAGACAGTACACGTATAAATTATAAATAAGGCTAAACAGCAACTGAATACGTGATGATGGGATGGGGTAGGGAAAATGGGGAAATGAGGAACCGAGTCTTGAAGGGAGCTGAGGGGTCCAGTAGGTGAAGGTGAGACAAAATTTGTATGTGCTTTTACATATGTTAGCTATTGTTATCGTTACTGTTGCTGCTCTAGGCATGGGAGCAGCCCATGGGAACTGCATTTGTTTAGTTAAAAAAAATTCAGAAACAGTACCTACCTCACAGGGGTTTGTTGTGAGGATAAAATGAAGCAACATATATAAACTCTTTGTAAATCTTAAAGCACTGCATAGATTCCAGCTTTTACTATTTTCTTTTGTCATTAGGGAAATAGAAGCTTTTTGCTTTAATGAGCAATTACCAAGAAAACAAAAAGATGACATAAAATACAAGGCCAGATTTCTTTTTTAAGAATGCCTAAGGAAAGATATATGCGATACATAGTTGTGGGGGAAAAAAAGTCTCACTTGTGACCAAAAATAATTTTTCAAGGACCCTCCAAAGCCTCCACTGCTAGCTTGACTCACCTGTCCATGGTCATTGTTGGCTGATGGGGGCTGGTCACTGGTTCTCCATTCTGTGAAGAGTCTGTCACACATGGGAGTGGCGAGACCTCTGGGTATTTCCACAGGGATGAAGAAATTAGAATTAAAAAAAAAAATCAAGCCTCTGTGTGTTAACCAGAGTTAACACACACACACACACACACACACACACACACACACACACGCACACGTATATCCACCCACTAGAGCCAAATGAAATGGTGTCACGCGCTATATAAAAGGCAGTTATAGTTGTCTAGCAAGAAATGTATGTAATACTAAAACAGAAGCAATTGTGTGATTTTTGCTAAAGACCATGTCATAAACATGGAAGTGAAGTAATGCAGGTCTCGATAGGCTTGTACTTGCTAAGCCATTCTTTCACATTTCAGTGCAAATCATCAAAAAAAAAATTTTTTTAATCTTAATGTATTTGTTTTGAAAATGTACAAAATATATTTGTTTTGAATTCTTCAGATCTCGTAATGCAGGAATTTTTATTCCTAAGTGTGCCACCCTAAGGTTCAGTGCTATTAGAGCTTAATTTGGAGCCAATGATATCAACCACTGAGAAATCTGATCCCAGAATTTAGGGTAAGATTCAAAGGCCTGCAGCTGTTTACTCACATCCCTGCCAACCAGGGAGCAGAGTTTCAAGCAAATCTGCAGCCGCTTTTGGTTAGAGCTGTAAATAAGAGAACAACACGGCAATTTCAGGGGGTTCATTTTGCAATCTGGCACAAATTTAAGTGCCAAGTATAAAGCAAAGCTGTAGGAGCTGCAAAGACCTTGGGAACTGGAGCCATGAAGCAGCTGGTATCAAACAGGAGGAGGCCAAAGCCACAGAAATTCACAAATCAGGAAACACCCAGAGTGTCAGAAGACTCTGCAACAGATCTCACTGAAATCTATTGACTTTCTGAGCACCACATGAAACAATCAGATTTAGAGGGTAAGGAATGACACCCAGATAAATGACACCCAGAGATAATCTACAAGTTGCATTTCTGTCAAGGGTTTTAACACCTCCCCACCTCCATACGCACACACATACATATATGTATATGTGTATGTGCATATAAATTAATATATATGTATATGCATGCCTGTATGTGTATATATGGTAGTGTACATAAGTATATACACACAAGCTTCATAGATATACACATACACATATCTATATATAGATATCTACATAAAAACTTCATCCTGGTAGTATAGTAGCATGGGATGAAGGGAAACCTCAGACTCATAACAGGAGGTGGCAATCTTTGTCTCTCAGAAAAAAAAGAAGGGCATAGTATATGAGGAACTTTTCCTAGAGATTACCCCCCAGTATTTCCAAATCTCAGGTCCACGCTCTGCTAGAGCCTTTGCCACAAGCCACGGAGAGCCCACATTTAGACTAAACAAACATTAACCATCTATCTGCCTGCTATATGCAGAGCAATATATTTGGCACTGGGTGAGAAGCAAAGTTTAGACAGGATATGGCCCATGTCCTCTTGGAGCTTATAGGCCAGTGTTTCAGAGCTGGGGGGTATCCCCTCTTCTGTTGGCCAGAAGGTTAGAGGTAGTACAACAAGTATAAGAGAGTGACAGGAAGAAAAAGGCTAAGGGTGGGGGAGAGACAGGAATTGTATAGTAGAGGAGTATGTGTGTTAATGCCTTTTCTCATAGAAGCTGTTCTGTTTTTTTGTTTGTTTGTTTGTTTTTTGGAGGCAACTGAGGTTAAGTTACTTGCCTGGGGTCACACAGCTAGTAAGTGTCAAGTATCTGAGGCCAGATTTGAACCCAGGTCCTCCCGACTCCAGGGCCAGTGCCCTATCCACTGCACCCCTTAGCTGCCCCAGCTGTTACCTTTTAAAATATTCCTAACAGTACAATAATACATTTGAGGTACTTTATGGGTCAAATGGGCTTTTGCAGGCTAGCCTGGGAACCTAACCATCAGACATAGCACCTTTTTGATGAGAAAATGTGTCCTAAAAGCTCATTTATAGAAGTTGTTTGCTTCCTCAGAATAAAACCTGTTTAAAGGACGGCTTGTATTTGTACGACTAGCTATTAAAAACAGAACTTCTATTAAGAAGTCCAACAAATTCTTAATTATAAAACTGTCCTAATGCCAGACAGATAAGAATCCTGGAAGGCCTTTTCTAACCATTAGCCTCAAGCACAAATTGCCCAAATAAGAAAGCTAAAAGTTCTCGGAGATGAATTTTGATGTTCCATTTCATGGTAAATAGAAAATGAAATTTCAGTTAACACAAAACAGACCCTTGTTATGATCTTGTATTTAATTTATTTAAAAGAAAGAAAGGCAATGACCTCTTCCTTCCCTAGAAGCCTCCTGTAGTGGTCAAAATCCTACCATGAGAGTGGTGTTGGTGACCTCTAAGAACCCTTCCAGTTGAGATATTACATGATTTCAAACTCTAGACTTTTTTTTTAAACAACAAAAAACTCTTTTTTTTTTGGTGAGGCAATGGGGTGAAGTGACTTGCCCAGGGTCACACAGCTAGTAAGTGTCAAGTGTCTGGGGGCACGTTTGCACTCAGGTCTTCCTGAATCCAGGGCTGGTGCGCTAGCCATTGTGACATCTAGCTGCCCCTCAACAAAAAACTTCTTGAAGACTCAGTGATTACACAACTTCTAAATTCATCTGTCTGGTACAGTGGAAAGAAAGTTGAACCCAGGGGACTAGAGTTCCCTAAAGGAACTCTAAATAATAAAATAAAAGGGTTGGTTTATATGACCTTTGGGGTCTCATTCATTCTAACTATGTGATCCTATGATCCCATTATAATGCTGGGTGTCTTTGAGAGTACAGTGAAGTAAATACCTGTTTCACCTGTAGTATCTCTCTTGGCTATGTCTCCATTTCTCTGGTCATTAGCTTTCTACAAAAGAAAATGCATTATTTTATAAATTAGAGTAATAATGGAAAATAAGCAAAGAAAAAAAAAATAATCTTGCTCTAAGCCAGTTAGGAAGAAAGAATGCCATTACCTTATCTGTAGCTTCTGTTTTCCTAGTTCTTTTCATAATTTCTTCAAGTCGCTACCAGGGAAGAAACAGCAAGCCAGAGTTAGATCCAGAAATAGAAAGAGCCTGGCACATTTTACAAATGAAGCAAATCAGTAACATTCTCAGACGTTTGTGCTATTTTTGGAGGACGCAATAGCTGCGTCCCAAATGTGTGCCAGGACTGTGCTCACACATTAAAAAAAAATGTATATTGATATCTTTTGTTTTTACAACACTTTCATTTCCAAATAGGCCCCTCTCTCTTCCCCTACTCAGCGAGCCAATTGTTACGACAAAGAAAGGGGGGGAGGGGAAAGAGCAACTCGGGAAAACCAACAAACATACCAGGCACTCTAGCAACATACGCAGTACTCCCTAACCACAGTCCCCCAGCTCTGCCAAGAAGGGACAGAGGTCTCAGGTAAGCAGAGGGACTCAAAAAGAGTCTCACTTATGAGTTGCAGCGTGGAGTTAGGTTAGACATAGGAGATGATGTCCTTACAGTGATGGTTGCTAAGCACTGGGATAGATTATTAATGGAAAGAGAAAAGGTTCTAATTTTCCTGGGTAGGTCTTGTTTAAGGGTGAGGGACAGAGAAGCAGTTTCCTCTAGACCCCCTCCAGATCTCTAAGTCTCCAGAAAGCCGAAGCAGCCAGAACACTGTGTGCAAACTTGCTGTAGGCAGTCCATCTAGTTACCTTCTTCCTTTCCAAGCGGGCCTGCTCTTCTCTTTGGAAATGCTTTTCTCGTTCTTGTCGAACTCTCTCAGCTTCCTCTCGTAGGCGGGCTTCTTCTTCTCTCTGAAGAGAAAGTGTCCTTTGTTTTACCACCAAATGGGAGACTTTCTACATACTTCTACCAATCTCATAGAGATATACTGAGGGTAAAGCTGGAGAAAAGATGGAAAGCTAGAGAGCCGGGCCTGGAGTGAGGAAGACCCGAGTTCAGACACTAACTAGCTCTGTAACTCTGGGCAAATCACTTGATATTCAGTTTGCCTCAGTTTCCTCATCTGTCAAATGAGCTGGAGAAGGAAATGGCAGACCATTCCAGTATCTTTGTCAAGAAAACCCTAAATGGGGTTGTGAAGAGTTGGACATGATGGAAAAACAATGGCATAACACAAACTGTATTTTAATAACAATGAAAAATATAGTAACTTCCTTTTGAGATTATTATCTGAAATTTGACACAGGATCATAGATTTAGAGTTAGAAGGGACCTTAGAGGAAATCTAGTCCAACTACTTATTTTTACAGAGGTTAAGTGACTTGCCCAAGATCACATAAGAAATGAAGATTTGCACTGTGGTCCACTGACTCCCAAAGTCTGCATTCTTTCCACTCTACCATGATGCCTCTTATAAACAATAATAATAGTAATAATAATAACAGTAGTAGTAGAAACAACAACAACAATTATAGTAACACTTCTTTTTTACTAAACCTGAGACAGAAGGGAAATGGTGACTTGGGATCTCCTAGCCCAAGGGTGGGGAATCTTTGACCTTTTGACTGAGTCCAAGTTTTACAAAAAAAATCCTTTTATTAAGGGAATTTGTTCTGTGAAGTTTGGATTCAGTCAAAGAGCCATACTTGAGGACCTAGAGGGCCACATGTCCCCACCCACGTATCTAGCCCCTTTGAAAATATGCTCCCCTTTTTGGCCCTCACATACCTGTTTCTGGACCCGCTCCATTTCTTCTTTTTCTCGTCGTTCTCTCTCTTCCTCCTGCCGGCGCAGCTGTTCTACCCTCTCCCGGGCCTGTTCTTGCTCCCTCTCTGCCTCAAGCCTTCGGGCTGCCTCCTCTCGACGAGCTCGCTCTTCGGCTACTCTTTGAGCTAATTCCTCCTTCTTCCTCCTAGGAATGCACGGGACAAAGAGCTGCCTGAAGGAGGCCTGGGTTGTGGTTTGTCACAAAGAAAACGTACTGATGTGACTGGCAGAAAATCTCCACTGGGTACATCGAATAGCGATAAAGGACAAAATGTGAAGGTCTTGGGAAGACACATGTGGCAGTTCACGGGGAATAGGTTACCTGATATTCCTTACAGGAGGTCCCAAAGGCTCAGACATTTGACTGTCCTCCACAGTTGAGATTTATCTAATACAATGCTTCTTCTGTCACTAATTTGAAACTTTTCATTTCAAAAAAATTCAGAAAAACCGGTTTATGGATACAAAAGGCCTGATAGATATTTCAACCATGAGTATGAATCTTAAGTTGTTTGCCAGTAATTGAGATGGATTTGCTTTGACCCATTCCTAATGGGCCATTTGTTGTGAATGAATCATTTTCAGTCATGTCTGACTCTTCATCATCTCATTTGGGGTTTTCTTGGCAAAAGATACTGGAGTGCTTGGCCATTTCCTTCTTCAGCTCATTTTATGGAAGAGGAAACTGAGGTAAATAGGGTTAAGTGACTTGGCCAGGGTGACACAGCTAGTAAGTGTCTGAGGCCTGATTTGAACTCAGGTTGTCCTGACTCCAGGCGCTGTATTCCATCTACCGTGCCACCTAGCTGCCCACGGGGTCATACTGCCTCATACAGTTCCTCATCTGTCAAATGAATCGGAGAAGGAAATGGCAAACCACTCCAGTATCTCTGCCAAGAAAACCCCAAATGGAGTCACAGAGAGTAGGGCATGACTGAAACAAATGTACAACTTCCTGACTCCAGGCCCGGCACTCTATCCACTGTGCCACCTAGCTGCCCACAGGGTCATGCTGCCTAATAATTTAAGAGGGGAATCCTAATCCTATAATCACAGGATCATGTATTTGGACCTGGAAGGGACCTCAGAGATCATCAAAGTCATTCCCTTTATTTTACAAATGAGTAAACTGAGGCCCAGAAAGGTTAAGTGATTTGTCTGAGGCTGCACATGTAGTAAGTGGCAAAGCTGGGTTTTGAGACTAAGGTCTGTGAGAGCCAGCACTATCCTCCTCTGTTGGTGTCCAAGGTCAGGCACTTGCAAAATTCCCGGCCAGAGTTAAAGATAGCCTTTCCCTATGGGACAGGGGCAAGCCAACTGGCTAATGTGAGGAATGAATCTGTTACCTTTGACTTATTAGCATCTTGGGATAGCATCTGAGCAAACTGCCACAGGACTGGAGCACTTAAGTATTTCATGTAAGCTGGAAGTTTTTTCATAGGAAGATAATTTGTATTTATTAAAAAAAAAAAACACCACCACCAAATGGACAGATGAATACTACTTAGTAATACTTTTGAAGGAGCTAACTTGGACTTGGAATCAGGAGGACCTGATTTCAAATCCTGCTTCCAACACTAGTTGCATGACCCTGGGTAAGTCACTTTAACTATCCCAGCCTCAGTTTTTTCATCTGTAAAATGGGGGCAATAATGGCACCTCCCCTCCCTTCAAGGGTTTTTGTCCTCACAAAAATGAGATAATATATGTATTATCAAGTGAGATAATATATGTAAAGTGCTTTGTAAACTTTAGAGCACTACGTAAATGCCTGCTATCTTCATTTTTAAAACTTAGTTTTTTTGGTGTTTAAGGCTTAGTCCATTTATCACTCAGATGTGACTTTATGGCAGACCCTTACTCAAAAAGCAGCTCTGCCCCTTTACCTTTCAAGCTCTTCCCTCTCCTTCTTTTCCCGTTCTTCCTTCTCTCTCTGTTCCCGAGCTAGCCGCCTCTTCTCAGCCAGTAGTCTTGTGGCCTCTTCTGGGTCAGTGGTCCCCGCAGAAGTTTTACCCAAACCAGATGAGGGCACAGCGGACGGCAGGGACGGCACTGATGCGGCTGTTCAATAAGAGGAATAAACTTCAATGGAGACAAATTCCACAAACAGAACAGACAAAATAGCCCAGGGAACCTAAATTTTCAGTTGAATGTCCTAAAGGAAAATGGTAAGTGAAAATTATGAGGTTTCAAGGATCTGCTGCAAAATTTTGTCCCAGTATCTGGCCAATAAATGACAAAAAGGTTTTGTTGAGGAACATTCACAACAAGGCAGACACTCATTTTTCTTAAACAAGGTCTTGTTTTTATACAAATCAGTCAGTAACATAGACTGAGTATCCACTGTGAGTACAGAACTGTACAGAGTAGAAGAAAAAATTTTCCATCTGTCTCATTTCTTCTCTGATCTTCAATTTGATATCTATTAATTACTAATTTACTGTGGTCTAGATAATCATCCTTAGCATTCTTGCCATGGAGACATCATAGCTGAAATCATGTCATAATGAGCCAGGAATAAGATGCATTGACGCTATACTCTTTCTGCCTCTCACAGTTACCAGGAAGGAGCCAGGTACGGCCAAAGTACACACAATGTCTGCCTATACTTGTGTATCCCACACCCCCACCTCAATGCGTTTGAATGAGAAATGAAGAAGCAATACCTGACAACTCAAATTTCAAAATTCTTTCACCAGAGCTGAGCTAGAGTCACAGGACATAGAAAAAGAAATTCCACACTACTCACTGTACCCTCCTAGCCCCCATAAAATAGAGTCCAGAGGTCATGCTCAATACAAAACAAAAAAGGAAATTGGGGATCCAGCATGCACCTGTACTGTATCCATACCAAAGGCCCCCAGGCTGCCAGCAACACAACCGAGTGAGAACCCAAGCAGATCAAATAAGTGGGAAATATTTAATAAAATAAATTTAAAAATATAATAGAACATACATAACATTACTACGTGGTTTTCTAAGTCAATATTGCAGCCCACAGGGATCCTTATTATACTGTTTAGTGGCCCTGGTGACATCTGTTTTTATATAAATTTGATACCACAGCGCCCTATGGTATCTATAATCAATCACATATTATAGCGAGGTTCTAGCATGTCATTGTTGGTAGCTGTTAACTTTGGTCCACCCTTCATATACATATACATATACATATATATATACACACACACACACACACACATATATATACATATATATACACACACACATACACATATATATATATATTTTTTTTTTTTTGGCGAGACAATGGGGTGAAGTCACTTACCCAGAGTCACACAGCTAGTAAGTGTCAAGTGTCTGAGGCCACATTTGAACTCAGGTCTTCCTGAATCCAGGGCCGGTGCTCTATCTATTGTGCCACCTAGCTGCCCCTGCCCTTCAATTTTAATGTAGTTGCTGGTGGTATAGTGGATAGAATGCTCAAAGTAGTCTCAGGGAGACCTGAATTTGAATCCTGCCTCAAACACCCACCAGCTTTGTGACTCTGGGCAAGCCACCTATCTTTTCTTAACCTCAGTTTGCTGATCCATAAAATGGCGATAATAATAGCACCTACCTCACATGGTTGTTGTGATGCTCAAATGAGATCTGTAAAGTGCTTCGCAAACTATAAAACATTCTAGAAATGTCAGCTGTATTACGACGTCTAAGTCTTTCCTCCACATCTATGATTATTGGTCATTTGCCTTCACTCTACTGTAAGCTTTTCTGCTGACTACATTCTGTATTCTTCTTGAAAGCATGGATCATATCTTTATATCTTGGGGAAAAACAAGCAACCAGCACACACACTTATAGGCAGAGCAGTGAATAAATATTTGTTGAACAGATGAATGTACACACGCTATCTTCTTGGGTTTTTTTCATCTCTCACTGTGTTCCCACATAAACAGGCATTAGACTCTTTCCCCACCTCTGGCAACATTTCCTTTTATGTCACTTATCCACCCTCTCGCTGTCACAGCCCCTTCATGCCTTAATCCCTTTCTAGCATCTTAATGCTGAGAGCTGTAAATGTGAATGTTAATGCCTTCCTCAGGCTCTCCAGGCCCACCATGGGAATATCCTAAGTGAGAAACAAAACACAGGCAGACAGTCTTGGCTCTGTGGTTTTCTTCAATCCCTTCTCAACTCACTCTGGTGATCATGGAGGGGGCAGGGAGGCAGGTAGAACAACATGACATTTTGCATATTCACGTTTATGTGACTATGCACACAGAAGGGCAGGCAAACTCTGAACACTAAATGAAAGATTGCCCTGAAATACTAGATAACAAGCAGACGTGTTCCTACTGACCACCATTCATCCCACCTTTCTTAGTGCTCCAGGATGGATTCCAGTTTCAATTTTCTTCTTTATTCATGAATTTCAATGCAATTTGTAAAGACAAATCCCCTTATCTCATCAATGATACTGACTTTGTTCTTTTATTATATATAATTTTGTAGTTTTCTCCTCAAATCCCATTCCAATGCTTCATCATGGGGTGTTGCCTATCCCAGCTCTAGTTCTAGAAGGTCCTACCCAAGCCAAGAAAGGCTTTAAGTATGGTGCTGGGCACATAGTAGACACTTCATAAATGCTTATTTGCTGACTGGCAAGAGATATCTATCTTTCAAGCTAAGTTCAGAGAGGCTCTTCACCAGCGTACCTATGTCTGTGACTGTACATGGACACATGCCTCATCCTCAGCAACTCATAAAGGCTGTCCATGTGGTCACAGAGGGGTTGCGACCTACCTCAGTGGAGGTAGTACCCACATCAATTATTAAATCACTGATACTTGAAGTATTGCAGTAACTTACAGATAAAGATATATCACATGTATAGAAGCTGAGTCAATTTACCAAAGGACATGGTGGAGAGGATGGTCAAGAAATATCTTGGGAATCGTGCTGGCAATTTAAAAATTTTTCCCCTTATCCTTCATCATTAGACTCAGATTTGAAAACAGGCAACAGAAACAACAGACATCTTGAAACCCTTCAGGGAAGGACTGAAGGAGCACCCCCTGTTTCTTTTTTTCCTTAAAACTCCTGAATTGCATCCCAATGATGATCTTCAACTTTTAGGTTGCATTATTTCAGCCCAAAGATAGCACAGTTTTCTTTCTACTTCAACACTGATTTTATTAAAATGAATTTTAGATAAATCAAATTCTGATTCTGCTTTGAAAATGTTTCCTGGCATGCAAATCTCTATAACACCTACACAAAACTACTTGGCAACTCACCTCCGATAACAAAAGTCTATTGAATCAAATGGTCTGAAGTAAATTTTGGTATGAGGTAATGCATGCTTACAATCTCATTATGGAACAGAAACAATCAGTTTTAAAAATAAAAGCTGCAAATTTGGGATAAAATTCTGAACATCTCAGAAAACTGAATTTCTCTCTTAACCAAGCATTTAAGCAAGGAATAGTCCTACCAGTGTCAAGATCAGAGCTTTTAAACAGCATAGCTTTTGTGCAATGGAGGCACTGAGCTGATAAAAAGGATTTAAGTAGAATAAACCCATGGTCATAGGACACCAGTATGTAAATTGGAAGAGTATTGGTTTGAGAAACATAGTACCTCATTGTCAAATATGAATCAATTGTCAAAATTGTCAGAATTGAATATAATATACCTCATTGTCAAAAAAGAATCAATCAGATGCATTACAGTCTAGAAAAGGACTGGGGCCATAGTCATTTTTTTCAGTCATATCTGACTCTTCGTGACTCCATTTGGGGTTTTCTTGGCAAAGATACTAGAGTGGTTTGCTATTGCCTTCTCCAGCTCATTTGACAGATGAGGAAACCGAGGCAAACAGGGTTAAGTGACCTGCGCAGGGTCACACAGCTAGTAAGTGTCTGAGGCCACATTTGAACTCATGAAGATAAATCTTTCTGATTCCAAGCCCAGTGCTGTATCTACTGCACCACCTACCTGCCCTGGGCCCATAGTCAGCCCTCACAGATTGATAGTCTAACACTTTACAACGCTTTTCTGTGTCCATCATTGTTTTATTTATTGCATATCCACCAGTTTTATCCAGCACTTAGCCCAGTCCCTGGCATATAGTAGGTGCTTTATTAATTGACTGACCTATCCTATGCTCATCTAACTTTCTCACTCTCAATTATAAACTTTTTCATTGTCTTGTATATCTACACATAGTCAGCACTCGATAAATTGTGATAGCTAACATTTACATAGCACTTTAAGGTTTGCAAAACACTTCACCTCTTACTTCCATTTACTCCTCACAATAATTCTTTGAGATCCCCCTTTTGCAGATGAGGAAACTGAGGCTGAGAGTGGGTAAGCAACTTGCCTTGGTGGATTTCAAACATAAATTCCTAACTTTAAGAAGTATTCCATTCAACAGGCAACTGAGATGCTTCTAAATGTTTGTTGAATGAATGGGTATACAAATAAGACAATCCCAACCCTTCCTAGGGCAAAAAAAGAGTTAATAAACCTCTTGATGCTTTAGGCAGCTCACTAACACTGTTAGTTTCAGAGGAGGCAACCTGTATCAGTGGAGGGAGTTTCCTCACCTGGGAGTTCCCCAAAGGCCCAGTCCCTATCCTTAACATCATATACAGAATAATTTTTTAGAGCTACAATACAATAGGAGATTGAACTGGAGAGTCAAGGGTTCTGTTTCTGCCACAAACAAGCCTCAACTTCTCAGGATTTCCATCTGTGTGACAAAAATTTGATTGTAGTTGCCATTTTTACAGTCTGTAACCTTACGAACATTCTCTTTACTGTGAGTAGTTATACTCACAGTACCACTGATCCTGTTGTTAGCTCGGTACTTAGAGTTGTTATCCGGGCAAAAGGCTTCTGTGGAGAAGGGGCCTAAACAGCTGCCAAAAAGCTACTACTTAAAAGGCCCTGGGGGAGAAACAGAAGGCAGCTTGTGATGGACAAGTAGAATCACCACCATTTTGCCCATCATCTTCCCACAGACCCTGATAGAAACAGCCCAGAACCCTGAGCCCAAAAGCTTGGGAATAGCATTATTCCCCAAAGTCTCAGACCTGCTTCCAACTCAGCCCCGATAGCTATATAAAGAAAGGGAGAAATCACTGTAGAGAGGGGAATCTACCTTCCTTATTACCACCAGCAACTGCTAACCAACTGTCACCAACAGGAGCCTTAGGAATGGCAGCACCCTCCCCCACCAGACTGGGGCTCAGAGATGTTAAATAATTTACCCAAGGCCACATAGCTAGTTAATGGCAGAGATGGGCCTCAGCCTCCCTTTCCAGCCATAGTATACATTACTCCCCTCTAAGCACTTTATGGTTCAAGATAGACTTCCCTTCTTGCTATTCCTCACATAGAACACCCCATCTCCCATCTTTATGCCTCTGCAATAGCGGTCTTTCAGCCTGGACTGTACACTTGAAATTGCTGAATTCCTTCCAGACTGAGCTCAAGCGTAAGGCCTTTTTACATAATGTCTTTCCTGTTCTCCTTGGTAGCTGGTCCCACTGTCTCTCCTCCCTCCCCCCAGGTTATCCTTGTTCTGTTTTGTATATACCTATATATGGACATCCTTTGTATCCTTGACATCTAGCAGAATGGCACATAGTAGATACGTAATAAATACTTGTTGATTGATTAAAACCTCATTCAGTATCCTTTCAGTCACTTGGACATTTACTATCTTGTATGGCTCTGGGCAAATCACTTTACCTTTGTCTGGGTTTCCTTAACTATAAAATGGGGATAATAAAAACACTCACCTTGCAGGGCTGTTGTGAGGATCGAATGAGACAATATTTGTAAAGCTCTTAGCATAGTGCCTGGCACATAGTGAGTACTATATAAATGTTTATTCCCTTTCCCTTCCCCCTTTCATCATATAATTTTTTTAAACATACATATGCAGATATATTCTCACCCTGTCTGTGCCTAAAGTATTATTAGAGAATTCAGTGTTGGAAGGAAGATCATCTATTCCTAGAATTCCCTTTACAACATCCCCATCCAATTGTTACCTAGCATCTGCTTGATGATCTTTAGTGATGGGAAATCTGCTGCCAGCTTCTAAGGCAGCCAGCTCCACTTTTGGATAGCTGTTTGGAAGTTTTTTCTTACTAGGGGCTATAATCAGATTTTTGCCCATTTCTTCTAGATATCCCCTCTGACTTCAAGGAAATCTCATACATAGCAAACTGAATCCCTCTTCTATGTAAAAACCCTTCAAGTACTTGAGAGCAAGGATATGTCCCCTCCTAAATCTTCTCTTTTCCAGGCTAAAAATCTCCAGTTCCTCATTATATCCAGCCTTTTCATCATGCCCCAGACCTCCTCTTGTTTGTTAACATTTTCCTTAATATCTCTGGGCTCTCTGTGCAGTACCTGGACTGTCCATCCTTCATTCCTGATGCAAGACTGGTTCACCTCCTTTTGTGGTCATGTATATAACCAAGGGAAAAGGAAAACGTTTGGAAGATCCACTCTTGGAAACATCATGGGGAATCAGAATAGGAAGAATCCATGGCTTTAGATAAAATATCATAACCACTCAAACTTAGATAATTTTTGTGCACACTTTTGTAAGAGGTCTCCATTCCTGTCCCTTAGTCTCTGTATACGCGTCTATAATTAGTTCTAAAGCATATTTTGAAGCAAGAACTAGAGGCAAGTTTCATGTTGAATCAAGGTAGCATTATATGTATGGCCAATGAGGCAACATTTAAGCCAGGGGCTCTTCATCTTATATCACTTAGTCACTAGAAGTAAGATGGAGCTGAAAGTGCCTCAGCATTATTATTTTTACTGTCAATGCTACTAATATCAAAAGATAAAGTGTCTTGCCCGGGCTCACTCTGGTAAGTATGTGCCAGAGGTGGGGTTCCAACCTGGGTCTATATAACACCAAATCCAATAGTTATGACTTAGACCACACCTTCATCAGTAACCATTCTCCCTCTAATATGCCGAATTCTCAAATCTGCTTCTCTGATCACATTATCTTTTCCCTCCTCTTCTGCCATGTCTCATGAGCCATCTTTCTGCCCTCATCATGACCTCCAGGACCTCCATCTCCCCATTTTGAAAAGGCACCTTTTCAGCTCAACCTCCAGTCCTTCCATCTCTCCCTGTTTCTCCAAGGCAACCCACCTTTTCAGTTCAACTTCCTTTGCTTTACAATCATGATCCTGAAGTCAGTAATTTCAACAATGTACTATCAGTCCACCTTTGAATCAGCAATTTGCTTTGAAAAAGAACTAGGGATTTTTTTAGACAGTCAGCTCAATATAATCACCAGGGTGATGTAGCCAGAGCAATCTTGTGCTATATTAAGGACATATCTTCTAGGAATATGGAGGTGACAGTCCCTCTGTACCCTGTCTTTGTTAGGCCTCATCTGCAGCATTCCATGTGGGTCTCCCACGGTTTAAGAAGGACATTGATAGAAGGTTACTTTAGAGTCCAGAGGGAGCAACCAGGATGGTGAAGGGCTTTAAGCCCACATCATATGAGGATGGCTTGAAGGAACTAGGCACGTCTAATCTGGAGAAAAGAATATTCAGAGGAGACAAGATAGTTGTATATTTTTGGGGCTAACCTGTGAAGGGATTAGATTTGTTCTGTTTTTCCCCAGAGGGAAGAACCAGGAACAGTGGCTAGAAACTGTGAAGAGGTCAATTTTGGTTTGATATCAGGGAAAAAAATGTTTTAACAACCAGAGCTGTCCAGAAGTAGAATGAGCTGCCTGTGGAAGTGAAGAGTTCTGTTCACCCTCCTTTGGGGAAGAGCTGGACAACCCTCATTAAAACCAATGGATGTGGGATCAGAAGCAGAGGCTGAATGAAAGCATTGTGGTGGCCACTAGGATAGTTAAAGACTGACCTGGGGGCAGCTAGGTGGCACAGTAGATAGAGCACCGGCCCTGAAGTCAGGAGGACCTGAGTTCGAATGCGGCCTCAGTCCAAACACTTGACACTTACTATCTGCGTGACCCTGGGCAAGTCACTTAACCCCAACTGCCAAAGCAAAAAAAAAAAAAAAAGACTGACCTGGAAGAGCCTCTGGCTTGGCAGGTGAGACTTCCTCATTTGTAGGTTCTTCAGCATTCACTGAAGGAACTTGGTCCTCTGATGATGATGCTTCAACTGCTTTCTCAGCTTCCTTCTCTGGCTCTTTTTTCTCTGTCTCAAGCCTGACTTCTTTCTTGATAGGCCGGATGTTGCTGGGGGATGGGGGCCATGCCTGAGCAGAAGCAGCTTTCGATGGGCCAAGTGACATGGAGGATGTTGGTCTGGGTGTGCCAGGCAAATGAGACAAGGACTTGGATGGGTGCCTAGGAAACAAATAAGGAAATGTGGCATGAAAGGAGACATGACAGAATTAGCCTTTGCGCTAGGAACTCCATTTTCCTCCAAAAGAAAAAGGGTGTTTGGTATCTTAAAGCAATCTTAATATGCTGATTTCCCTCAAATTACCTTACATTTATTTTATATATTTCTTAAACCTAATTACATATGTACATTTTTTCTCCCCTAATAGAATGTACTCCTTGAAGTAAGAGGCAGTTATTTTTGCTTCTCTCTGCACTGTTTAACACAGCAGCTGGTAAATAAATGTTTCCTAATGAATTCCCAATAAAGAGTTAAGGATATTCAGTTATTTATTTAAGTATTTCTCACAGGTAGCTGAAAAGGGAAATTTGTCTACCTTAGAAAATAGGTGATTTCCCACCCCCACCCCTATTTCCTGCCAAGGAAACAAGTTAAGGCAAGAAAATAAGACCAAAGTAGCCTAGTGAGTGGAGCTGACAGAGGAACATGGGTAGCTTCCGGTACCTGGGATGATTCTCAGGTAAGATGAGCCACCAGCACTTCACTTACCAAACTGAGGAGGGAGCTGGTGATCTAGTTTTGGGGTTTGATGGAGACAGGGCTCTTCGGATGCCAGATGTGAGGTGGAAAGGCATGCTTTCTCTCTCCTTTTCTCTTTTATGCCCCTAAGTTGAAAAACCAAAAACATAAGAATTAGGTCCTTCTAGAAGTAGAGGCAGTAAGAGCCACATAATCAGCATTCAGTTGGAGGTAGGGATCAATCAGTGCCTATTGGAGTGTTTTGGGCAGGTTATCACAGGTATTACAATTTAAGCCAAACAAAGGGACCTTCCAGGGATCCTGCTGTCTTGGAACCAGATATTTGACTTTGATCAACAAGATGAGATATCAGTAAAGATTATGCTGACTCCATGGTGCATGTTTGCCCCTTTAAAAAAAGTTTGTGCTTCAGATCTGGGAAAAGGAGCTGAGGTCAGTCTTGGAGTATAACTTTCAGCTCCCTGGATGCTCCATATGCTTTAGAAATGTTTAACTTTTCTTATTTAGAAATCAGTTTCATCATCTTTTGTTCCTCTAAAACCCAAAGGTGGATTCTTGTTTTCAAACAGTTACCATAGCTCAGATATAGCTTTTGGTCTTCCCATGTGTCAAAAGAAGGATTAATCTGTGCTCCCATTGCAGCCAACATATACAGAGAAAGACTTGCTCTTACTTGTGCACCCGAAGAAATACCTTATTTTGTATTTTTTTTTTAAATACTGATATCGTAAGAAGGCATTTCTTCATGAAAGAAATTGGACCCAGTATGTCTTGGTGTCTTCTAATCCACAATGGAAGGTCAGCTCCTAAGTGATGAACTTAAGCCATTTTAAATCTTTACCAGTTAAAGTCTGAAATCTGAGAAAGGTTCTTAACACTGTCAACTCAATATTGTCTCACCATCCAATGTCTCTTCAACCCCTTACCATCTAACTGCTTTCCCTAATAAAGAAACAGTTTTCTTAAAGGTCACTAATGAGGAATGAAGGCCCAATTAACCAATAGTGTTAACTTTCTTCTTAGAAAAATAAAATTGAAAAAGGGCATTTTCCAATGTGGTAAACATAAGGAAATAGTTGCTAATACATAGTGTTAAGGCATCACTGTTTTTTTCAGGGTCTCCTTCCTAACCTTCCTTCTGGAGCCTCTAGGTAGTATGCCATTTTCTACCCTTTCATTATTTCTGGGGTCAGAACTATCTGAGAGAGCTGATCCTGGAACAAATCAGATTGGTGTGCAATCAGCAATGATCACTCTCTCCCTGTCCTACACAACATTTTTACATGGTTAAGAAAATTTTTAAAAAGGTGAGGGGGCGGGCGGGCAGGAGGGTAGGGGGAGGAGAAAAGGGTAGTAAGAGGTTGTGTAGTTCAATGGAAAGAGCATTGGATTTGGAGCCAAAAGACCTTGGTTCAAATCTTAGCTCTGTTAGTTACTACCTGTTTGACTTTGGACAAGTCAATTCTTCTGAATAAGGGGGACCAAATGACCCCAAAAGTCCCCTTCTTCCCTAAGTTTCCAAGTCTATGAGTTTGAAAGGTACCTGAAGGAGAAGGGGGCAAGCAAATTTTAATATTCATACGTTCTGGATTTTAACAAGGCTTGGCAGAAGGAAACTCTTTATTACTTGTTTTCTATTTAGTCTCTTTTTAGGCTGAAGGAGGGGATAGGGAATCATTGGAATTTACTGAGTCATGGCCAAACACGTGCTTTACTAATCTCACTTTGGCAGCTATGAAGAGGACTGAGCAAAAAGGAGAAGAGACTGGAAACAGGGAGACCAATCAGAAGGCTGTAGCAATAGTCTAGGTGAGGAGGGAGGAGGGCCTGACGTTGGATAGTTACATTTCTGTGTGAGTAGAAAGAAGGGGGAGGATGTCAGGGATGTCGTGGGAGGGAGAATCAAAAAGACTTGGCAAATGATGGGAAAAGTGGGGTAAGGAGGGGTGAGGAGTTGTGAAACTGGCTGACTTGAACAAAGTGAGATTTATTTCCAGGGTCCCTTTTTGTACTTTTCTACTAAGATGAGAAGGGGCTCCATGTCACAGTCTCTCCCTCCACTTCTCCCCCTACCTTGAAAACTTGGCCTAATTATTCAGTATTAGTCCATTAAAGTAAAAGATTCCCTGGACTGGAGACCAAACCTTTCGTCTCACAATAAACGGCTTCAAACAACTTCAAAAACAACTTCTCCCAGGGGAGAAGGATGGGTCCTAATTTTACCTAAATTCTGCATCTTTCCCAGTACCTGGCAGCATAATGGAAAGAGCCCTAAATCTGGAGTGAGAGGATCTGGTTTTGAATCTGGATTTTGCTATGTGGTTTTGGTAATCTCTGGTTTAAGTTTTCAAAACTATAGGAATGAGCAGGGTTAGGTCAGATGATGTCCAAGGTCCCTTTCTTCCAGCTCTGAACCTCTCATCCTAGGCTTCAGTTCTGAAAACACTCAGAGCCAGGCACTTCCTAGCTCTATGGTTACAGGCAAATGACTTAACCTCTTTGAAGTCCCAGAACTGAGAGATGGAGCATCTTGTTCAAGGAAGAAGAAGGAGGCTGTAGTCACTGGATCATGGAGTATGTTGTGGGAGGAAGGGATAAAATTTGGAACTCAAACCTTTTTTTAAATGTTAAAAAATAATTACTATAATTAATATTTATTTTTGAGTTGAGTTTGAATTCATTCTAAGGTGAAAAAAGCTCATCAAATCCTTTCCTGAAAGTAGATTCTGATAGGAAGGAGAGAGAGAGCTACCAGCTGAACTCTGATTTTTAGTGCTGGGAGACAAACAGTTCAACAAAGAAAAAATACAAGTCATTTCAGTTTTGTTGAAGGTCATTCCTGGTACTATCTCCTGTAAGTGTTATATTTATCTAATAGCAAAAATGCTCAAATGGTCAGTGCTCTCATTACCTGGATCTTCCCTCTGTGGGTGTAGATCACAATGTATCCACAGTAGAAATAAAGATTTTTTTTCTTTTCTTTTACTAAGGTAAATGTATTCAAAAAAAGATTCAAGTACTTTTTTTTTTCAACCTTTCCCTCTAAAGCAGGGGTTATTAACCTGGCGCCTATGAACTTGCTTCTTTAAATATTCTAATAATTAGTTCCCTCTGTAATCCTGTGTATTTTATTCAGTTAGCACTACTATGAAAAGAAGTCTATAGGCTTTATGGGACTGCCAAAGGGGTCCCTGGCATAAACAAAAAAAAAAAAAGGTTGAGGACTCCTGCCGTAAAGGCAGGATTTCCTCCATGCTGTCTTCATTCAATGTGTGGCACACAAAATCTTTCAGCTCAGATCTATGGCTCTAAGTCCAAAGCTAAGATCTCCCAAGAGTGAAAGGTCAATATATGAAATTCTCACATCAAAGAGAGTTTCTTTCACCTTTGGCAAGTGTCTCAATAAAGAATTAAAGGTAGATTCTGGAAGGCCCCAAGGGGCTTGGAAGAGAAATACTATACTTCTTAGCATAAACATCAGGCTTGCCCAACCACACACGTTATCCTCAAAGGTCTATGAAAAATCCTTTAAAGAGCCTTTTATCTTAAATCTGACTCATTCTATAGAGTTAAGATTTTAAAATAATGTGTTCTAGGCTTTCATTAAACAGGTCATGCTATGATCATGGCTGGATAATTAAGTGGAGTCTTTCAGTTGGTTGATGAGTCAGTTAAAGCCAAAGGGAAAACAGAAACAATGGCCATTTCTTCCAGTAAATGTAAAATGCCCGTGCACTTCAAAATAAAGGGAAAACATCCTAATCTCTAAGCTACCTTAGTATGCACAAAGTATATAGTGGAAATTAACATGACTGTGGTAGCATCTCTACTAAGAATGCACATGTTGTTTTCCTTAATGATCATTGCAAAGAAAAAAAAATCAAAGTTTAAGAGACCAATGGTCAGTAATTAGATCTGGAAGGGCACTTGGAAGCCATATGGTCAACCCCTTCATTTCACATATGGGCAAACAAATGCCACCCAGAGAACTGATGTGACTTATCTAAGCCCATACAATTCATAAATATCTGAGGTAGGATTTGAACCCAGTGTCTTATTCACTGGTGATTCCACACTAAATTAACTAACTTCCACCTAAATGCATCCTAAAAGCACCAAAAGAGTACTTTTTTGGCAAATGCATTCAACATCAGTGATCCAGCTTTTATTGACAAGGGATAGAACCAGAGTGGGAAGTTATCTTTATGCTCCTATTTGGAGATTCTGAGGTCACCACAGGCAGGCAGCACCACACAGTCACCCTGATGTTTGGCACAATACCAGCTCATGTCCATTTGACACCCCAGGGTTATAGATGGCAATCCCATGAGTGTGCCAGAGACTATCAAATAACCACAATGTCTAATGATTCTCATTCCCCTGCTTAAGAAGGTCCAGTGACAGTCTGGGATAAAATACAAATTCCTCTGTCTGGTATTTAGAGTCCTTCCTAATTTAACTCCAGGCTACTTTTCCAGGTTTATTATACATCACGCCCCCCTTCACATGCTCTATGGTCCATCCACATTGTCCTATTTGCTGTTACTTGCACATAACATTCCATGTCTTTCTCTGTGCCTTGGCATGAATGGGCTGACCCCAGTGCCTGGGATGCATTTCCTCCTCTCCCCTACCTCTTTAGATTTCCCCAGCTCCCACCAATTGTTGTTTTTAGTTGTTTTTCAGTTGTGTCCTACTCTCTGTGACCTCATTTGGGGATTTCTTGGCAAAAATACTGGAGTGGTTTTGCTGTTTCCTTCTCCGGCTCATTTTTACAAATGAGGAAACTTAGGCAAACAGGGTTATGTGACTTACCAGAGTCACGCTAGCTAGTGTCTGAGGCTGGATTTGAACACAAGTATTTCTGACTCCAGGCCCAGTCACCTAGCTGCCCCAGTTCCTGTCCAAGTACAGTTTAAATTCCAGTTCTTACATGAAACCTTTCCTAATCTTCTTTGCTACTTGGTGACCAGTACCCTTACCCCACAACACATATACCTCCCTGCTTAGCAGGGAGCTCCCAATGAAGGATTTCTTTTCGCAATGCAGATCATCACCTTTTCTGCCACTTATAAATATGTATACATATGTGTGTGTATATATTATATATATGGATATATATACATCCATATATATATGTATATATACCCATATATATATATATATACACACACACACATACACACACACATACATATACACATATATGTATGCCTTTTGCATAGGGCACTGAGAACACCTAAGGCTGTTTTACCTGTACCACTCTGGACATATCCAGCAGATAGATGGCTGCTAGATATAAGTGTTTGAGAATCCAGCAATTAGTAAGTATTTATTATATACCTACTGTATGCCAGGAACTATGCTAAATGTCAAGGGGTACCAAACAAAACAACCCTTAATCTCAAGGACTTTAACTTCTTTTGAGGGAAATTAACAAATCATACATATATACATGCATATACACACATGAACATATAATTTGCAATGTACTTCTATGTGGACACGTGATTTCCCTGAAAAGAACACAAAGCAAACCTGTTACACATGCACACACATAAGTATGTGATGTTTGTGTGCACTTATATGTGTACACGTAATTTCCCTTAAAAGAACGAAGGCTAACAAAAATCACTCACACATGTAATCATGTATATATGCACATGCAGGCATGTTGTTAGTACTCACTTTTGTGTGTACATGTGATTTTCTTAAAAGAATGTAAGGTAAATAAAAAAAGTATTCACACACATGTATATATGCAAACATAGATACATAACGCACATGTAGATATGTATTAGTTGTATTTGTATTTATTTCTATGTGTACATGTAACTTTTTCCTTAAAAGACTGTAAGGTCTTTGAGATCAAAAGTTATTTTTTTTGGTACCCCTGACATCTAGCACAGTTTCTGGCATACAGCAGGTAGATAATAAATACTTATTAATTGATGGATTCTCAAACACTCTTATCCAGCAGTCACCTATCTGCTGGATATTCAGAGTAGTCCAGGTAAAACAACCTTAGGTGTTCTTCAGCGCCTTGTGCAAACTAACTCCCTAATGATGGATAGATTATATATATGTAATATAATATTAATTAATATTATCATTATTAATACAATATTAATGTAATTATAAACAGAGAGACAGGTGATGAGGTGATGATTTGTAGTGGGAGAGAATATTCCTCACTGGGAGTTCCTCACTAAGCAACTGGAGGAACAGTGTATGTGTTGTGGGGTAGGGGTTGCTGATCACTAAGGAGGGAAGAGCAAGAAAAGCTTCATGTAGATGCATGGGTTCCCAAAGTAGGCAATACCACCCCCTGGGGGTGCTGGGATGATGTGGGGGACAGTAGTAGTTTGAAATGACACAAATTTCAAAAAAAAAAGTTAAATAGTTAAAGAAAGTAGATTTGCAAGGGGACACTGAGTAATTTTTTTTTTAAAGGGGGTGGTAGGCCAAATAAGTTTGGAAACCTCTGATAGAAGCTCAAATTTAAGCTGCACTTTGACAAGAGCTAGGAATTCTAAGAGGTGGGTGTGAGAAGGGCATATATTCCAGGCACTGGGGCCAGGGTCTGGCTTCTGTCCCCCCAGGGTCATTCAGATCTCTTTGTAGCCTTAACAGTCATTTGAGCTTGTGCCCTTATTAACCCATTCCCATTGATTACTTACCATTGTGTTGTGCAGAGGCCTCCTTCGTCCAGTACCTTCAGGTGGTGTTACAAAGAGTTTGGGCCGATCAGCTGGATTTCTACAATGTGCAGCTTTGTAGGACATAATGCTGATGGGGCTGCAAGATGCTGAACGAGGACAAATGGGGATAACTAGGATGCAGTTGATTGTTTTACAAAGGGCAGTGTCGGAGTTGCGGAAGAAGGAAAGCCAGAAGCGAGGTGCAGGAAAAGGAGCAAAGCCAAGAGAAGAAGAAAAGGAAGGAGAAGATATTATTACCTATAGGTCACCCAGAACCATCACTCAACTCTTCCCATGGCCCCATGAGCTCACGATGCCTCCAAAAGGAATGAATAGGCATTCAAATGAAATGGATGGATATCTTGTGAGTGATTTAGCCATATTTAGACAACAGATCAAAAATCCAAATGTAGCCAAAAATGAAAGGCAGCAGGCAATGGTCTTATCTGATAAATGATGGTTCTGGTTCAATTCTACCTGAAGGATACAAGAGTGGTTTGTTTCAGACAAACACAGGATTTAAAGATGGTTTAAAGGTTATGGAGACAGAAGTCAGATTTCTCCTAACTAGTACTATGATGAAACAAAAGGCAGAGAGAGAGAGACAGAGACACAGAGAGAGACAGAGACACAGAGACAGAGAGAGTTAGCTAGCAAGCCAGCAAGCCACAACACAACTATGCCAGGAGGAAAGTTCAGCAGCCTAAGGAGTGAGAATAATTGTGTTTTTTTTTTCTTATTAAGAGGGTTAAGGATAACTTGTGATTTACATAAAAAGATTATAAAAGTTTTAGCTATAAACCCATAAATCAGATGCATGATGCTGGATTTCCCACAGTTCTTATTTTTTGTGCTTTGTAAGACACATCAATGTGTATTTAAGCACACATTTTTTGGCTAATAATAAACATTTACATAGAGTTTACTATACCCCAGGCACTGAGCTAAGTGCTTTACAATTATTATCTCATTTGATCCTCACAACAATCCTGGGAGGTAGGTGCTATTGTTATCCCCATTTTAGAGATGAGGAAACTGAGGCAAAAAGAGGTTAAGTGACTTTCCCAGGGTCACAGAGCTGTAAGCCTCTGAGGCTGGATTTGAACTCAGATCTTCCTGACGCCAGATCCAGTGTTCTAGCTACTGTTCTATAATCAGCACTGCCAAAAATCAAGGATGATCTTAAATATTTGAACATATTTGAAATCTTCAATCAATATTGCTTGTGTTTATTTTAGTTTTTTTTTTAAAGCACACTCATTTCTAATTAGCATGGAATATTTTTGTGCTATCTTTTAAAAAGTACACTCATTTACCACTTCCTGCTCTCCAGAAAATGAGCATTACCATGAAGCAAAGGTTTTGTAGGCTTAAGGGTGTTAAAATAATACACTATACAGGTATCACCATGTAACACAGACAGCACATGTACATCATAAAATTTATTTTCTGATATCTCAGCTGGCAAGGTAGTCTTAGTAAAAATAGGAAACTTAAGCATGATGACTATTTACATAAGCACTATGTATACATTTGGATCTATTTGTAATGTGACCAAGTATAAGTTTCTTTAAAATTTGATTGGAGGATTATTCATAAATGCAAGAGATTATACTCAAGCTCAGAGGTCGAGAACAGGGACATTATGAACAGGGACATCTGCAATCACAGAGATTTCTGAATTTTCAGACAACTCACTCTCTCATCCAGTGACATTAAGGCTTGATCTACAAAGGGAAATTAGTTCATAATTGTATACTTTCCCTAGGTAAATTATTGGGAATGCCATCAGATTCTCTTTCAGCTAGTTGCAGATTGGGTGAGAGGGCCAACAGAAGGAACTACAGCTTTTTTCAATCATTTAAAAAAAAGTGAGTTCAATTTCCTCAGGGAAAAATCCTAACCTCTAGGTTCCAGAGGTTCTTAAGGTTATGAACATTGTCACTCAATAGTCATTCTCACAAACTAAGCCCTTCCAGGGGATTAATGACCAGGAGTAGGTGTACATAGCCCTAGGCATAGCCAGGGGCCAGTAACCTCGATTTTGAAGGTGAAACTATGACCTTGGAACCAGTATTTTTCTGTTTTTATTTTTTCCCTCAGGATTATTGATCAATTGATGCTAATGGCCCTTGGCTGTGCCTAGGGCTATATATGCCTCCTCCTGGTCATTAATCCCCTGAAGAAAAAAAAAAATAAAAACTGAAACACATTTGCTCCAAGATCATAGGTTTCACCTTCAAAATGGAGCATCCAAATACATCTTTTTCCTTCTCCTATAAAGGGCAATGCAATTTCAGAAGGTCTCGGAAGAGTATTCCCTGAGAATATCCTGGATCTATGCCAATCTCATCATTTCTGTTGGTTTACAGTTTATTATGTAGCATGAGATAATATTAAATGAGAACATGAGAATATACTAGAATCTCCCCTAATGCAGCATTTGCAAAATCCCAAATCTTGGTTTTTCAAACTATCATCTTCCAGACAAGACGGACTGTTTCAAATTCCTCCTAGGGAAGCAGCGAATTTTATGGGATTCATTTCTATTCTGATGAGCATTTCCTCTAAAAGGCTAGACCTCTTTAAATGATTCATTTTGGAATTTCAGTCTTCTGAAGAAATAATCTTACAATGATTTGTGCTTATTCCCTGTCCATCCTCCTCTATCACAATATACTAGAATAATAACACAGATTCTTTATAAGAATGCCTTTGAAACATCCTCCCATGGTATTACTAATTTTTTTTTTCCCTCATGACTCAAGTTAACTCAAGGAGAAACAGTAGAACAGCCTACAAGTTTAATTCAAGCAGTCAGGACTGCAACTTATAAAAGATGAAATACCTTTTTTTAATATACTGTATTGCTTCCTCATGAGAAGTGACTTAGTTTCCAACTACTCCTTCATTATAAATACCATATTTAAAACATGCCTGACAATTTTCCCCAATCCTCTCAAGACATTTGAATTTCTTAAAATATGTCTTGGAAAACTGCATTTTCTTAAAAAGGCTTCTGTGTCTTAAAATAAATAGTGATCACTCACATTTCAAATGTTTGGGTTGAATGATTATGGAAAAGCCAACTGAAAGTAAAGGCATATAAAGCAAGTGCCATGAAGGACTTCCTTCATTCTATAGCTGGTATGTTGCCCATGTCAATGAGAAGTAAGGTATCCCTTTTGCTTCTGAGATCTGAAACCACTCTATGCCCTTACTTTATACAAGTGGCATGGAAAACTACTGTTGTAGTTTTCAAAATAACCTAGTTTTTTGCCTAGTTTTCTTCATCCCTGCAGTGACTAGGAAAAAGAGATGTAGCAAAGGAATGATCTTAGGGAATGGAGGACTAAAGAGAAAACAAAGAAATTAAGATATCGACATAAAACATAATTGAAAGAGATTTTTCATACATGACCTCCAATGGAAAAAGAGGATCTTACAATTTTTTTTTTTTTGGCATAAGAAATGGACAGAAACATATTCGAGTGCCATAAACAATGATCAGCAACAATGCAACACAAGGGCTATCCTATTACATCGAGTAATTAACATAAAAGGAAGTACTTTGGTTTATACTGCAGAGAAAATTATGGGAGTAAATCCCTTTGGAAAAAAAGAAAATGGGAGAAAGGAGTTGCAAAGCAGATAAGGAGAACCAGTTAGAATACCTGATAAGAATTACCCAGGCTAGGCACAATGATGAAAGGAGGTAAGAAGGTAGGGACCACTTGGGAAAGGAAAAGGATGAAGCAAAAAGTAAGGAAACATTTTAAAAATGAAGTAAGAAGCTGGAGCTCTGACAAAAATGTCAATGGTAGATGTAGGAAACAAAGTAATTCACAATCTTATGAAGCTGATTAGAGATCAAACAACATACAATGTGGGCATAAGGAATCATGAAGCCATACAACCATTGTGTTGTTCTTCATTTAAGTGTAAATGAAAAAGATTTTGTTTGATGACTATGAAAGGAATGAATCAATGGACAGAAAAACAACTATAGCTTTTAAAATCAGAATTCCATACTTTTAGAAAATCACAGCCAGTAATGAGTCTCAAATGATGAGAGGCAATATGGTCTAGCTCTTTAACTGAACACCCATTATACACAGATGGCTGTCCCAGGGACAGGGGTTTGGGGGGTGGTGATGAAAACTGAAATCCCACAGATGTAGATTTCACTTCTTTCTCTGCCATAGAATCATCCTGGAATAAGTCCCTGAGTCTCCCTAGCTACCTCATTTCTGCTATGGGAATAACCATACGTGGTACCTTACGTGCCTCAAGGGGGTGTTGTCAGAATTATGGGATTGGTGCTACTGAAGTCCTTTGAGTACCTTAGAGGGAAGGTAACTATAAAAGTACAAAGTAGTATTATTTACACAGGGGTAAAGGACGGAAGAAGCTTGCAGAATCAAAGCATCTTTAGGAGGAACTTTATGGAGATTATCAGCAGTTTTCTGATTGGAGAAGGCAAAGGTAAGTAGACTGGTCATTTATTCCTCACATATGCAAAGGAATCTGGGAACATGTGAATCAATCCAAGATGAAAGATGTCTTGGAGAAATTAAGGCACATCTTTCCAACAGGTATAGCTTTACATTAATTTACAGTTAAATTAATTGACCTGTTTCTGTTTTGTGATTTGAAGTTGTTAAATAACAGTTTAACATAATCTACACTGGGAATTTCTAAACTTTTTTTTCAAAGACTGTTACAAACCTGAAGCACCATACTTGGGGCTTATAGCACTTCTCTGAGGTTGGGGGTGTATTCTTCACAGATTACCCATGGGTGATAGAGAGGGAATTTTTGTTGCCTGAGACCACATGAAGGAAACCATGTTCTTTTATACCTAAGAGACTTGCCCTTTGATTTTACTCTTTCCTCCAGATTTTAGATCCAAATCCTTTATAAGGAGGATTAGTGCCAAAATAACTGATACTCATTTCTACTTCCGATCAACTCTCTACTCAAATGAAGGCATAGGAAGGTGAAAAGGGGATAATTTTTCAGCTCTGTATCTGCCATAAACAGAAAGAGGGTATCTAGAGACATCTGATAAACAGGAGGAGGTCTCTACGGTTATCTGGTGTCCAGATAAAGATGCTAAGACTTTGACAAGAAAACAATACAGGTAGCATGAAACCAACACCAAATAGGTAAATTTCCAAAGCCATTTCACCTGGCGAGGTGCACCTCAGAGAAAGCTGAAATTTGATTAGACCAAATGGCTGTTTAGAAAGCTTTGAAAGGATGGCTCAGCTCTCCCCAGAAGGCTCCACTTTGTTAAGTTTTACCTGCATCTCCAGACAAGGCAGCGGTGCTTTTGCTTCGGGCCAGGAACGAATGTGTGGGCGTCAGGAGTCTGTTTACAATGCTGCTCTCCCAGGGGCTGAGCTGCAGGCGGCGAGCTAAATGTCACCACATAAGCAAGATGTTAGAGGGCATTCTTTCCACAGATGAGGGGACTCAGCACATTATTGCTACTATCTCCATACTTCGCGTCTTGAAATGACACTTGGGTATCCGGAAAAGTGAAGTTTGCTGAACATCACCATTAGGGGTTCCTGAGAGGATCAAACAATCCACTTTTGTATCCCTAGTGCTTAGCCGGTTGCATTTTCTGTAAAAGGGGTCCCAGTCAATAATGATTGAATCGAAATAGATCCATTCCATCACCTACCTTAAACAGGGCATGGTTCCTGGCTGCCACTAAATCTAGGTAGCTGACCCAAATAGCACTTTGCTAATCCCTATCTGTTTTTGGTCTCTCCCCTCCTGCCTCCTTCCACAAACAGAATGAACATTTTGACTGTAGGCTTAGCAGGTGCCATCACTTGCCCTAGGCAGGTGGCTATCTAAGGTATCCAGGCATCAGGTGGGGGTATTGTGCACTACCCCACCCAAGTAGATTAGTAGATTGAATCCACTATTGCATAATAAGCCACAACAAAGGCTTTGCCAGAGTAAAAGAAGATTTTCCATCAGAGTTTACAAAAAAAAAGACAAATGAAAAGGATTCTATTGAACACCACTAGACGGTCATACCTTCTGTTTCTAATAGCTTTATGGTTCACAAAGCACCTTACAAGTATATTATCTGAATAATCCTCACAACAACCCTGTGAGGTAGGAGCAAATGAGGAACAGAGGCTCAGAGAAGGACTGGCTTTGCCCATGGCTACACAGCTAAGAAGTAGGAAAGTGGGACTAGAACCCAGGTTTTCTAGCACCTGTTCCAGGGCTTTTCAGTCAGCTAGTCAACCGGCATTTATTAAGCAATGACTACATGCCAGCCACTGTGCTAGGTGCCAGGGACACAAAGATAAAGCTAAAACAACCCCTGCCCTCTGGGAGCTTACATTCTAGTTGGGGAGAAAACATTCACATATAAGTATATGACAAAACATATACTCCTCAGCTTTTATCTAAACAATAAGAGGAACATTTGAACACAATTTAAAAATGACAGACTGCTATTTCCATCTATCTATTTGGCACAGTCATGGTTATGATTTTAAATAATAGACAGGGCTTTCTAGGTCTGGCTTTCAAGCCACATTCAAATTTATGATGGAGGATAAGGCTTACTGTTAGAATAAGATAAAATGAAACACAATAGCCATAAGCCAATTTGAAAAAAATAATAATTCTGCAGATAGCCACTGTTACATCCTGAGTCCTCCAGTGAAAATCATACTAAAAGAGGTAGCCTGAAATAACAATTAAGGCTTGATAGCCAACATTAAGAAATACTATTGATCCTTCACAAAATCACTCAATTCTTAAAGCTCTATTGCCTAGATAAGTTCAGGTGACTACCTTTTAAGGAAGGCATGAGGATTATTTTCCCTGAAAGATGGTAAGAGAAACATGAGGGGATCCTTCAAAGACCCAATGGAAAAGATTCCCTATTTGTATTTGGGAATGTAGTCTCCTAGACTCTAGGGCTTCTTAAACTTTTTCCACTCACAACCCCTTCAACACTTCTTAAAATGTTTAAAAAGCACTGAAGGTCTTGAAAACTATACTTTAAAAAGTATAATCGGGTGAATGTTCCTTGTGGACAGACTATTTTGTTTTGATTTTGTATTTTCAGCACCTAGAACAGTGACCAGCACATAGTAGGTGATTAATAAACTCAGGCTGAGTAACTGAAAGTGACTCCTCAGCATCAAAAGAAGTAGGTATACCTCCATCTTTAAATTATGCTTCCAGAGCCAATTTTCTTAGGTTAATGTCTTAAGGCCAGATTCCCAAGGGAAGGGCACTTGACTTCCATTAGGAAATTATCTGGGACAAAACTATGAGGAAAGCCATGATGATTCTGACATCAACAACAGGAAGGAATTCCCAATTTCCTAAAGCATAATTATGCGAGCACATATTTAAAGAATTCAACCCTGATTTTTTTTTCATCACATTCTATATGCACACTAGGGATAAGTGAAACATTGTTAAATTTGAGCTTTACCGGACTGAATTCCAATAATTAAACTATGTCATAATTGTCAAAGTAATTACTATATAAAACTCCATGAAAACATTAATAAAAAAATGCAGTTGTAACATCTAGAAATCTCTGTGAACCCCACTGAATGAATGTGACTATAGCTTAGACTCTAATGACAGTGTAACTCTGTATCTAATCTCTATGGAAACTACTACAGCCTAAAATTAGAATACATTATACTAGAATGGAAAAAAAATTAATGGGAAAAAGGTGAACTGCATTAATTGAAGGTTTTCAACACATAATTATATTTTAAATGTTGGGGGGTGGCAAGGAAGTGAAGCAGAAAGAGAATGAGAATATAGGAGAGGCTGAAAATTCTGTCTTTCCACTTTTTCTTTCTAGTTGCTGAGCTCAACTTTTCTTAGCTGTAACTCAAATATTTAAATTGTTTCCCTCCAGAAGCTCACTCTCTCTCCCATTTCCCATTAAAGATAAACTGGCTAAGGACTATAGCACGTACTGAACTAAGACTTTGCTTCTATGCAAGGATTTTTTTTTCCTTACAGGCCATTCATTTACTGGTGCAGAATTAAAGCTAAATTGTACCCATCAAAATAAGATTAAAGTGTGACATAGCATCATGGATTTATTATTTTGTCTGGCTCACTCATCTAATTTGTAAAATTTTGCAGTTAGAGCCTTTCCATGAATGTAAGATAACTGAATGCATAGTATTAAAATATAAGCCATAAAAACCGCCCCCCCCCCCAATACAGAGCTGTGTTTTAGATTCTAATAACATGCATTTGTGTTGGGCTTTTCCTTAAAGTATCAATATGGTGCTAATTTTGCTGGTGGTAGCTAATTAAGAGTTCACATATATTTTGCTAAGTATCCCAGAGAACATAATGTTAATAAATAAGAGTGTTTTACCTAGCATACCACGTTCTTTCCTCCAGCAAAGTTTAACACACATTTTCTCTTAATCTGTAACAAACATTGTAGCAATTTGTTGTGGATATCAACTCAAGTTATATATGGAAAAACCGAGCCACAAAAAACTAGATGTTTGACCACAAATTATACAGTGACAAAATCCACAGACAGAATCTAGGATTTCTGCACTACTCTCTTACCCCAAAACAGTTTGAGTTCCTATCTCTTCTTTTTTATGCAAAATATTTCTCAAGTGTCATTTATGATAGGAATTATTCTTTTGATGAAATAGCTCCTTTACAATAAGTATATATGATTCTCCAAGGAGCTAATGGGGATCCATAAGGATTCCTCTGTCCCTATAACACTACTTCAAAAAGATCCTATGTAAGACCCCAAGACATCATTTAATAATATATGATAATGCTGGTGTGAGAGATTGCTGGGTCAAAAAGTGTATTGTGCTTCTTTCCTCCTCTTAAAATAACCTCTAGAGGCTTACTTTGAGTTTAAGAATTAAGAAGATGACGTATTGTATACACTTCTTTCTTTTTTCCTTTACCTGAAGTCTTTACCTAAAATGGAGAAATTTAAAAATTTATTTAATTTGCCTTAAACTTATGAGACAGTAAATCTATCATTCTAAAGCTACTTACAGTATGGATAGTATTTTCCAAGGGAAAAATCTGTTTCCACCCCTATAATATGTCTATTCAGGGGCCTGGAAAGAGAGGTGACAATTGGCATTTAAAAAAAAAGACACACAGATTTTATGTTTCACCAGAAGTTTCTGGAGGAAATGGACCAGATCTCTCTGAATAATTGTATAAAGTTCTGGGTATGGAAAAAGTGTTAAAAGTTCCATCTACTCAGGAAGGAAATGTTGCTAATTTGAAGTCCATGCAGGTAAAAATGTCTTTGATCTTATTTCAAAAAAGAGTGCTTTTCTTAGAGTCCTGAACTTGGAGACAGGAAGAGATGAGTTCAAATCCTGCCTCAGACATTGATTAGGTATGTGACCCTGGGCAAGTCACTTAATCGCTCTCAGCCTCAGTTTCCTAATCTGGAAAATGGGGATAATAGCAATACCTACAAAGTTGTTGTAAGGATCAAATGAAATAAGATAATGTAAAGTACTTGGAAAATCTTACAGCTCTATCTACATGCCTGCTATTTTTATTATTATTATTATTATTATGTTCAATATGTCTCTCCTATTAAAAGCTTGCTAAACAAGAATCAAAAAGGATGAGAAATTAATTAAAAGCTTTTAATCTAAGGATTTCTAGTGCCTAAAACTATTTTGTGGCTACAATGACAAAAAAAAAACAAAAAACCAAAAACAACCCATCCCAAACTTTGGTAAATCACAATCCCTCTTTAAAGAATATTTCTCAATTCGTTCCCTATTACAATGAAGTTTTATTATAACACTCTCTTAAAGGTTCAAAGTTCAGAAGAAACACTAATTTACTTGACTAAGCTAGACTATAAGGACCATGCTCTGTAACTAGGCAGGTGGGTGGGCTATCACGTTCTCAAGGTGAGGAGAGTATTAAAAACCAACGAAGACACACCAGGGTGCAGGAATCAGTGGACACAAGGGTAATCATACACGAATAAGCAAAGTAGGACTAGGAAATATGAAATTTAGCATAGGTGTAGGACTTAAGACATGAGGGTGGGCAATAAAGTTTCTCTATGCCACTGGATCAGGACTTAACAATGAGTCCTTATGGCATTTCCAGTTATGTCTCCTTGGACTGGGTTGCCTTATTACACTTCAATGAATAAATAAAAATGATTTTAAGTAATATACCTAGAGCAACAACTTCTCTTTCACAGATAAGAGAAAAAGAAAATTCCTCCCTATCTGAATACTTACCATTTTAGGAGTGAAGTACAAATTCAGAAAACTTCAATGAATTGGTATTAGTTTAAATGTATGTCTCTTGACAAAAACAAAGACAAAACCCTTAACTTCCTCAGATCCATTGTAAGGAGGTAACCTGGCTTCTTGACACTGGTCCTTACTCCTACCACCTGAACTTTTGTTTGGGGGTCCTGGAAAACCTGAACCTGCCTTTTGGCCTCATCTCACCCATGAGCCTCAACAAGTGATCACTGCTCTCTTAATAAGGAGGCAGAGAGGAAGGACCTACTAAATTTAATGCCTATTTTTGTCTTGTCCTGTTTCCTAGACCCATGCCTAGTACTCAGTCTCTTAATTCTGCTCTGCTCATTCAAATATGGTTAATTTTAAGTTTACTGTTTCCTGATCCTTACTATAAATTGTTACTTGATCTTCACCTGCCACCAAAACCCAAAGCCTTCTCTATAATCCTTCCTCAAAAAGAAACGATTATGTTTAGGGAAAAGTCCTCTAAGAATGGGTCCTCATGAAATATATCAGTGATAGTCATTTAAAATGCAGTATGCTAGCATAGAGGAAACATGTGCTTTAGTCATTGCTCCTTAGTCACCTGTTTGACCTTATAAATCCCTTCTCTTACTGCCTCATTTCCCTCATTTGTAAAGCGAGTGGAGAGGTGGGGTGGGCAGAAGGGGGAAAGAGATTGTACCAAATAACTTCTTAGACCCATTCTAGCTTTCAGATTCTATGACTCTGAAATTATCCTATTAGGTTCTGTTATATATAGGACTCTCTCTATCCACAATCCAATTTACTGAGACAGGCAGCTCAGCACTGTTACTAAGTAGATGACTTGAGGAAAAGTCACCCAGCCTCTTGTTCTCCTCACAGCTCCAGCCATGGCACTAGGGAAGGTTGGTGATATATGCTGACATGCTGAACAGATCATCAAGTCCATAGGAAGTAAAGATATATGGTTAAAAAGATAGCTTTCCTCAGTTGTTTTATTGGGCTTGGGGGCTTGTATGCAACTACAAATACTATTTGGAAAAAGGAGTTTGAACTCATGATCCTTCCCACTAATACAGTTATCTCTTCTACATCATGACTTTCCCCATTGCAATTTTGATACATTGCAGGTCGGCATAAGACATTAAATGGAAATTTTGGAGGAGTTTTGCAGAAACCACAGATGACATGTGAAGGCCAGCAGATGACACAGAAAAAGTTCAGAAACTCAAAAATGCATAAAATACATGTATAATATTTTATAATATCAACATATTTCACCTTTTAATACCATAATAATTCAGACTTCTCTGGTATGAAGGGAGGGCCAAAAATTTTTAAGTAGATTTTCTGGATGGTTGGGGCACCTCTCCCCTAACCCCCTGTAATGTGGAAAGGATGAATATATGTGAAATCATTATCATTTAACCATATTGTCTAGATACAGGGGTAGGGAACCTGTAGCCTCGAGGTCACTTGTGGCCCTCTAGGTCCTCAAGTATGGCCCTCTGACTAAATCGAAATTTCACAGAAGAAATTCCCTTAAGGAAAGGATTTGTTCTGTAAAACTTGGACTCGGTCAAAAGGCCTTACCAAATGACCTAGAAGGCCATGGGTGGCCTTGAGGCCGCAGGTTCCCCACCTCTGGCTCTAGATCATATATCAAGGTTAATCTTTGAAAGTAAATTTAAATAACCTGGAAACAGAAATAATTAGGGTTTGGGTTAAAAGAGGACAAGAGGAGCACTAATTTTTTTTTTTCTCTAGGTTCAAACATTTAAAAGTAATATGTTAACAGCAACTTTCAACATTTTTATAACATTCTAACATTTGACATACATGATATGACAATATACAATACAAAAAGTATGGAAATATACATATACACAACTATAGAGCACAAATACATTTTATACATATACATGAAGACTACAAACACTGACATTTTCCAGTTTCATAATGAAATTCTCAAAATAATCAGCTTGTGATGTGTATTTAAAAGGCTATGTTTTCATATTGCATAGTAAGTCAATCTTGATATTTCTTATAGCTCAGCTTGCGAAAAGTGAATAGTATATACCTTTAAAAGAAGCAGGATTTTTTTTCCTTCTATGGTATATGCATAGGCAAAATAAGATTTTGTTTCACAAATAAACTTTAACTGCTAACATCTCATGTACTGTAAATCCTTGGAATGAAAGCAACTCAAAATCTGAATGAAATGCTGCTCATTGGAAGGCCATGACTGGTTAATTTGTCTGGAGGTTTGCAAAGATGAAGACATTCTGGAAATTAAAGGCAAATCTCAAGGCTAAATGAATGGACATTGAAAGCAAGAGCATGGACACATGAAATGCAACAAAGAATGTCTGGTTCAATGAGAAATAAACTGGAAAAATGAAATCTACCAACATGAACCACTTGAAGTAAGGCTTAGAAATTCAAAATCAGGCATTCCCATAGTACAGAAGAACAGCCAAATGAGCACGTGGCTGGAGCCCAAATAAATGTTCCCAGAAAAGGCCATGTGAATTTTTTGTGGACAAAGTGGGTAGTTTCTGGCGCTGTAAACTCTTTTACTAAAAACTTGACAGGGAGCACCGTTTTCACCGTGTGTGCTAAATACAATCATTCAGCCAAGTTCTAAAATGAGAAATGTTCTTCTCGGCAAGGAAAACGTTGCTCGGCGCTTATTGCTTTTTTTAGTTTGGAGGTTTTTCTTCCTATTTAAGAAATGTGGGGAAGGAAAACAACTTCAGATGCTTACTGTAGCTGTAAATATGCAAAAGAGCCATTAGGTAACAAGACAGAACACTTGAAAATTTTCCTTTTGACTGTACCTCTATCTGGAGAATTTAGTAATGTTGCCGATGAAGAGGAGAGCCGCTTGCTAATGACTGGATCAACATGTTTCGAAAGATTCATTGTTGAAACTGACCGCCTGTCTGGATCTAAAACAAATGGAGATAATGCTAATTGACAGCCCGCATGCATGACCAAAGCTTCCTAGCTGGCACATGTAAGGGAAAGCTAGGTCTGGATGGATTCAGCTCTACTGCTAGATCACTTAAAATAGCACAGTTCTCTCAGTGGATGTTTGATGGGTAACTTAAAGGCTGGGCAGGAAATTCCTTTCTTTGGTAGGACAAACAAAGCCAGTCTTTGGGACATCAGTTTCTGTGTCAGCGAAACCAACTGGGATATGAGTAGATTAAACTGAAGGGACCATAGAGTATAAGGATAACACAATGTGCTTACTTCACTCTCCCTGGAAAGAGGGTTAGGATGGAGGAAAATCTCCCCTTGAGAAGGATTAAAGTATTTAGGATAGCCTCAATGGGAATCATAAAGATGACCACTATTGTGACCCCCTGAACCAAAAACAAGTGAGTATTATTCTTCTAGGTAAAGCCGGATAACATATTGAACGAAGGTTTGGGGCGTGTGTGTGTGTGTGTGGTAGCTTCTAACAACTAGATATGTAATTTTCCCAGGACACCAAAGGAAGCTAGCAATAGTACATTTGAGTGTCCAAAAGAAGAAACTCTTTCAAGGTGTGGAAGGTTTGTGCCAACACAGCATCTAGTTTCTGAAATAAGACTGCAAAGAACCATCATCCTCACCATCCCATACTGTTGGGAGCAGTTTTACACAGCATGAATGAACTATTTGCCCGCCTCCAAATATGCCTTCCAAGAGAGAGAAACAGTCAAACAAGTGAAATGATATCTCTTTGTCTTGATTATCATAACTTATGATTGGTCCTAGGCAAAACATATTAGAATAATTCCAAAGGGTAACATGCTTAGTCAGAAGGGGATAATAGTGATCAAAATGGCAAAATTAAGTCTAGCGTGCCATGAGTAGAAAAGAACTCACTCATGCTCATTGTTACATGGGTTCCATTATACTGAGGAACACATCAACTTATACTGAGGAATAAATCATAGAATCTTGACACGTATTTGCCTATGAGACAAGCATCAATTCTTTTCCTCAATACTGACAATTACAAGGACTCCACATTATTCTTAAATTTTTTTCAGTAGTCTCTTAAAAAAATAACTAGTTTTTTGCTGTTTTATTTTTAAAAATAATTTGAAAAATATTATAATATTAAAACATCATAATATATTATAAATATATAAAAACATTAGATGAAATTATATTATTATAATTAAACTATATGGTTAAAATAAATATATAATATATTAAAATAATTTGAAAAATCCCATAGGACTTATGAATTTTTCAAGAAAAAACCTTTAACTTGTGTTATAATACATTGGCAAGTTTCTACCTGTCTAGATACCTTATTACAGGGCCATTCTCCCCTGAACAGATGAACTATTTTGGACTATTATTTCCAAGGTTTGAGATAGTTTGTTGTAATGAATGGATAGAGAGTCAGCCAGGAAAGCCTGGGTTTAGGTCTCCCCTCTAATAGGTACTGCCTATGTGAGCCTGGGCAAATCACTTAACCTCTTATTGCTCTAGGAAACTCTCTAATGCTATAATTTATAGAAAAGGTTTGTTGATAGAAGAAAATTTGCTCACCTGGGAATTCCGTATATCAATGAAATCACAAGTCCAGTCCATATTCCCATCTATATTTTCAACAGGCTTTATGATATAAATATGCTTTCCATAAATATCAAACATGTATGTATGTCTTTTTTTTTGTTTTGTTTTTTTTTGTTTTTTGGTGAGGCAAACAGGGTTAAGTGACTTGCCCAGGGTCACACAGCTAGTAAGTGTCAAGTGTCTGAGGCCGGATTTGAACTCAGGTCCTCCTGATTTCAATGCTGGAGCTCTATCTACTGTACCACCTAGCTGCCCCTATGTATGTCTTCTGATAGCTATTTTTGTAGGGATAAAAACTTGTGGTTTAGGTTTTCTTAGGAAAACCACTTTGACTCTCAAAAGGCTTCTTTTAAATATTTTTATATTGATGAAGTATTTTAGAACTAATCTTTGAGAATCTGTCTCCAACCAACCGATTGATCCTTTGGTAGAACTTGGTGGCTTTCCAGGTTACTCTTAAGGCAAGGCCAAAAGAGTTTAAATTGAAAGATTTAGGTTAAAAACACATCACACCATCTTGGTCATGAGTGGTGGGATGGTGGAACATAAATAAGACTTAGAGAATCTTTCTCTTCTCTCTCTTTTTTTTTTTTCCCCCAAGGAGATTTTAGAAGAGCATTAGGCTATTTCTCTCTGCAGGACAGATTATATTTTAAATCAAATCCTGGGCAGGAACTTTGCCCATGTAGCTCTCAACATACAGCCTTCTTGTACGTCATCACCTTGTCAAGGCACTAAATAAATGCTTTTTGAAAATTACAGGAAATATAGACCTGACTTGAAGCAAGATTCTGTGTCAGAACCACCTTGGGGATTCTATGACTCTTGAAAATTTAGTTAAACTCCAATTTTTTTCCAGATTTTTTTTTTAACAGTAGATCCACTGTCTTTATTCTCTAAGATTGCTGATCAATTCCCCCAATTCACTGCTCTGGGGGAAAAAAAAGTAGAATTTTCCAGCAGCCTAAGAGAGCACTGGGCTACATCTCTTGCTTTTAGTGGCAGCAATGATTATAATTTATTAATGCTATGAGTGTGGAAGAAGACAATTAAGTTTAGGTAGCTTTTCCCCCTTCTATCTCTGGAAATCTATAATGGTATATTTGTGCAACAAAGAAAAAATCCAGATGAAAAAATATCTACAGGAGTAAGAAAATCAACAGTGTGTCGATTTTTCTACATGTTATAGAAAACTATTTCTGGCCACTCCAAGAAAGAAATAATTACAACCCTGAGAATATACTACATCAATTATAGCAATACAAGCATAGTGGGCAGGTGTGGTGATGGGGACAATGAAGGGCCCCCAAAAAAGATTTTATATTGTGATTAACAACTTGGTAAATTGGATTTATGGCCATGTGCTTTTCATATTCTTTTAAGAGACTACCAGGGTTGTTCAGGGTCATATATAGACAAGACCCTGGGGTACAAAACTTTAAAAACAGATAATTTTATTGCATACACTCAAGCAAAAAAAATTGGCAAAGGTGATAGTGATCAAAAAAGACTTAAATGGGATGCCCTTGAATCTTTGATGAATCACTTAAAAGAAACATTTTTAATGATTTGAGTCAAAATAATCACTTTTTAAAAAGAACTGGGTGTAGGAAATGCAGGTATTGCAAGGGATCCAAGGACCATCAATTTATAACTGGAAAAAGACTTAAAGGTCATCTAGTCCAGCACCCTCATTTTACAGTCGAGGAAACATGAGGTTAAGTGATTTGCCCAAAGCTACGTTGAAAGTAAGCAGCCGTGTCAGAACTTGAATTCATGTCATCTGACTCCAAATCAAGTGCTCTATACCTGTTATACCTGTCATTCCAGGGACATAGCTAGCTCACCTGGAGAACACCTGGAGAACAAAGGAGGCAACCTTTGTCCATATATTCCTGTATCACAGAATCATAGATTGGATTATTGCAAACTCTTTAAGCCCCCAAGCAATAATGATCACACTTGAGAAGGACTGTGCTATCTACCAGATCTAGAGCTAAGCAGTAGGATATTAAGCATGCATTAGGTCTAAATGATGATGGCTCAGCTAGGGATGAACTGTTCTTAGGTCTGTGGCACTAGCTACAGGTCAAGGAGTCAAGAAAGACAATGATGGCTGTACCAGATTTTCTAGTACCACCCAAAGGTCTGAAGTGGTGGTCCAGGCCTGCTAAATCGAGAAAGGTGAATGATGTCTCAACAAAACCACCTAGGGACAGAATGTAAAACAATGATGTTTCAAGGGAAATTAAAAAAAAAAAACAGGGTCATTCGTATCACACAAATGAAAAACAAAGGGAAAAATATTAACACACCATGTGAAATAAAGGTATGTTGAATTTACAGTACAATGATATTAAAGACTCACTAAAATGACCATGTAAAGGTTTAGTTCTTTTTTGATCCCTGAGACTAATTCCCACACACAATGAGAATTATATTAAAAAAAACAAAAAAACCAAGAAGGAAACACCTCCAATATTTACTGTGCACTATTTGTAACTTCAGAAGCAATTTCATTTCCTGGCCTGGTCATTAGTGCTATACATTCTCAAGCCAGCACAAAGAGACTCAGACAAATAAAATAACTATGGTCAGAAAAGGAAATTTTTTAAAATACTTGGTGTTTTTACAAAAAAATGCAAATTAAATTCATTTATTGTTACTGAACCACATATGGCAACTGATTTGCTTAAAGTGTTATCAAGGTGAGATCTATACCTTACTTTATAAACTCTGCATGGTGTACTGAAGTCAAAATTTTTTTGTTACCCTTGAGATCAACAGCCTCACTGACACCTGAAAGGCTGTGCCCTACCACATTCATCATACGTCCCCTTCAAACAGCAGACGGAGCCAAAAAAAAATTTTTTTTCATCCAGATCAATAGCAGGATGAAGGGTTTCATTCTTTCATGAGTCTCTTATTCCTCAATGTTTCTCCTTACTTGGGGGAACTTAGCTCTCTTTGCAAAAACTGAGGTACAGATTCAAAAGGAGGGGGAAAAAAACCAACATTTCCCTCTTGGGATTGCTTCCTATCTGATTAAGATCCAAGGTGCATTCTTAGCCTCCAGAAGAAAAGGGATAGATTTAGGAGCCCTTCTCTACCCTGTTTACCTGTATTGTGAATGCTGGTGCTGGTACTGCCATGGAGGGATCCCCCCCAGGACCACCTGTTTTGTTTCTGTTTTGGCTTCTGGCTCCTCTCAATTGTGCGCCGGACAACAGCCTCATGACGTTCCTTAAATGTGAAAGAGGATTCAGTGGTTAGTTTGACTAAGTCCAATTCGGATGCTTTGGCCTTTTTCCACTAGTAAGCCCATTGAGTCACACAATCAACAGACCCCAACTAAAATCATTTTAGCTCAGGGTTCTTTAACTTGGGGGGGGCCACAAATTGTTTGTTTGCTTTTTTTGATACTGTATTTCACCATAATTGATTTCCTTGGTAAACCTATGTATTTTATTTGATGTCTTTTAAAATGTTATGCTGAGAAGGGGTCCATAGGTCTCACCAGACTGTCAGAGGAATTAATGAAACAAAAGACATTAAGAATAACTGATTTAGATGGACTGATTCATCCTGCCTCTTTGGGACCTCTTCAGTATTTCAACACAAATAACTTTAGACTGTAAACTTACTTTTTAGAAAATCAGGCTGTAAGCAGAAATTTCCTTGATGAGGCAAACAGCCCCTTCTCCCAAATCAAGCCCGCCATATATAAAACTGATCATCACTGCGAAACAATTTCACTTTGCATACCAATATTTTATTGAAAATGCATATGTTATAATTTTGTTGCATTTGAGATCAAACAATGTAATAAACACCAGCTGGGGCCTCTCACCTTATCCTCTTCTAGTCTCTGCCTTCGCTTCTCCTCGACAGCAGCCCGTCGCCGCTCGTCTTTTAACCTCTGCTCTTCTAATTTCTTCTTGCGCTCTTCTAAGTGCTTTTCATAATGTTGCCGAGCTCTCTCTTCTCGTTCTAACCACACGGTTTCTCTCGCAGCTTCAGGGAAAGAAAGGGAGGGGAGGGGAGGATCAGATGGAGGCTGACTGGAGAGACTTAGAATTGAGAACCTTCGGGCCACTTGTCTTTGGGGATGCAAGTTGCACAACCATGCAACCAGACGCAAACTTCTGTCTAGCACAGAGTACCTGCATCTCACCCACAGTCAGCTTCTACCAATTACACTGCTTTGTAGTTGATTATTTTTAATTATACTTCAATACTCCAGTATTACTTGAAATCTCTTCAACGTAGTAGCATACTCCTTCAAAGACACAAAGATACCCACCCTCACTTTCGTATCCAGTGCGTCTTTCTTCCCCATGTCCTCCCGTATTAAAATAATAAGCATATTACACATGCTCTAATGTTTTTATTATTCCTTTCAACTTAATAATGTTTTTATGAACTACAAAGGGTGATGGTGAGGCCTAGCAATAAGTCTGAGATCATTCTCATACCAGCCTCCATGCCCAGATCAAGAGCTATGTGACCCTGGGCAAATCACTTAACCTGTGTTTGCCTCAGTTTCCTCATCTGTAAAATGGGAATAATAATAGCACCTACCTCCTAGGGCTACTCTGAGGATCAAATAAGATAATAATTGTAAACGCTTAGCACAGTGCCTGGCACATAACAAGTACTACATAAACGTTAGTTAATATTATTGTTACTAGTAATGCACAGCTAAAAACCACCATGGACTTGTGCTATCTTAACACCTTCTACAGGCCTATAAATGGATGTATGGTTATTTTATAATGTTTTGCAATGAATTTGCATGTACCCCCCTGGTATCAATCTTCACATCCCTTTATTATATCCACAAAAATACTTTTGGTGTTTATGTCCATTAAAAAAAAATCTATCTTGATTTTTTAAAATGTTATCTCTCCCAGATGATAAGCTATGTCTTCCTCTTTGTATTCTTCAGTAAAACAAAACAAAACCAAAAAAAAAAACCACTTAGAGATTTGAAGGAATTTTGTAGGGCAAGGCAATTAACAAGCAGAGAGTATCTACCATGTATGCCTCACACTCCATGCTAGGTGCTATTGGTCGAATATGAAAGTGTAGTGAACACAGTACCTATTTTCAGGGAACTTGGAATCTACTTAAGAAGATAAAACATAAAACTTATAATCAACAGGGCAGCTAGGTGGCACAGTGGATAGGGCACTGGCCCTGAAATCAGGAGGACCTGAGTTCAGATCTGGCTTCAGACACATGATGCTCACTAGCTGTGTGACCCTGGGCAAGTCACTTAACCCAGATTGCCTCACCCCCCCCAAAAAAAACAAACAAACAAACAAAAAAACCCAACTTATAATCAAGTTAGGAAGACAAAACGTAAAAAAGTAAATAATAATACAATAAGACCACACACGTAAAGGTAAATAATATAATGAACAATAAATAATTGCAATAAAACATTATTCAATGAAGGGGCAGCTAGTTGGCATAGTGGATAGAGTGGACAGAGAAGACTCATCTTCCTGAGTTCAAATCTAGCCTCAGATAACTTACTAGTTATGTGGCCCTGGGCAAGTCACTTAACCCTGTTTGCTTCAGTTCCTTATCTGTCAAATGATTTGGAGAAGGAAATGCAAACTGCTCCAGTATGTCTGCCAAGAAAACCCCAAATGGGGTAATAAAGAGTTGGACATGACTAAAAAATGACTGAACAACAAAACTGTTCAATGAATGAATGAATACTTCAGTTTCTGGGTGATATAAGCTTTTGTATCTCATTTTGTTTGCATCTCCTTTGCCTCAGTTTGAGGAAAAAAAGTCTTTATTTGAATCTGAGGCCTCTTTTAGCATCTACGTGTGTGTGCATACATATTATATTTTTCAGTGAGATAACTGTCCACATTGACTAACAACAAAAGCTTCTTTGCCAAATACGAAGAACACTTTTTCTTTTTCTTTTTTTTCTTTTTATCTCAGGCGTTGTAGCAGGCAAATTACCACATAGTCTCTCTATCTCCTATCCTCACTCTTCTGATAATCCCATCCTGGGTCAGTAGTGAGAACAACAGCTGTTCCTGGGGGGTATTTTGTGGGGTCATTGCTAGCCAAATGGTCCCTAAATTTTTGGGCCTGTTCCCAGATCCTCCTCTTCTCCTCAGTGGTACAACAGGTGGAGAAGAGGATGTGCAAATCACTCCAAAGAAAGCTCAAATTGTAGGGTCACGTCCCTACAGCCCTCAGTAAACTTAGTGGGATTTTCTGAGTATCGACCCAGTTTCTCTTTGACCTGAATGAGGTCTGAAATGGAGAACGGAACATGTACCCTAATTGTCCCAATAGGAGAGACAGGAACTTCCCTTAGGGGACAAAGCCCTGAAGGCACTGTGGGAACTGGGGCTAGGGAGGCAGGGAGTTAGGAAGTCCCACTTCTTGTGAGTGAGGGACTGGGGAATGCTGGCTGAACTGGACTGGACTGCAAAGCCAGGGGATCCAGCTGGCAAGGGGAAAAAAATCAGCTGGCACTGGAGGAGGGGAAGAGGTCGGGGAGGAGATACCACTAAGACTGGGGCCTGGGTAGTCCTTGCCTCAGGATAAAGGGCCTGGGGAGGAGATGCCCAGGCAAGACCCTTGTCCAAAACCTGAGTAGAGGTCACATCCAGAGGAGGGGCCTGGGGAGGAAATGCAGGGTAGGATATGTAGAAGGTGAACAAGGCAGGATATGAAGGAGGTGGGCTAGAGAAAAAGGGAAGGTAAACCAAGGGAAGGCAGGGCATGGGAAATAAGGGGGGCCAGGAGAGAATGGGGTGGAGATAGGAGCTGGGAAGGGGGTGTTAATGGAGGATGGGAAGAAGGGGGTGCTCTAGCACTGGGGGCTATGAAAGGGTCATCCAAAAAGTCTAGTTGAACCCCATTACCCATTTATGGGGCAGCTCTAGCTATGAGCATCCTACAATGTTTTCTGAGAATGGGGTCACGAGAAAGTTCGACAAAAGTCATTATGTAGGGAATCTCCACCCATTTTCCTTTTCTGCTACAATATCATTCTAACTCTGAGAGAGTATGTTGCTGTAATGTCCCAAAAACAGGCCATGCCTCGTAATTTTCCAGGTGATACTGAGGCCAAACAGTGTTGCAAAATAACACCAGCCTTTTCTTTTTAAGTTCTTTAGAGAAACTAAATTTTTCCCAATTTTGTAAAAGACAGGTGAATCTTTGGGAATTGAAGAGGATTGGGGTGTGGGGGCTGGAAGTCCCCCCCCTCCTTAAAGAGGATTTGGGAATAAGCTTTGGGAAACAAACAAAAAAACCAAAGGTTCAAAGAAGTACCTTAAGTTTTCCCAAGTCCTTGGCGCCGAGAGAATTGAAAGGATTGGGCCTACATTTCCGGACAGGGAGTCTGTGATTGAACAGAATCACTGGACCGAGAGCCTGAGAGCATCAAGCTGAGTTCGAGACAGCCTCGTCACTGTCTGATCTAACGGGACCTGAGAGGTCAGGCTCGAAAAACACTTCCAAGCCTAGCCTTGCTAGGTGCTTGGAACTTCCCTCCCAACCACAAGGCAAGAAAGGAGTTAAGGAAGGTGTAGGCTTATGTGCCTTGTAGTCTCGGCTGGAGAAGGATTTGGGATTTGGCAGCCATTCCCAGTCAGGGAAGAGGTCTAGAGGTTTAGGGGTGCTGGGACCCCAAGATCACAACACATGGGTCCTGCCCCAAAGAATTCAACCCAAGCCTTCTTTCAGCCAAAGACAAGGTTTATTAAAGATCCGCCATATTGGCCAGACTCTTAAGGAATCTGAGCACCTGGGAGCTATTGGCTAGATTGTAAGAATCTGAGCAGTGGCCAGATTAGAAGAATCAGAGCCTTTTTTTTTTTCTTTTTTTGAGAGGCAATTGGAGTTAAGTGACTTGGCCAGGGTCACACATCTAGTGAGTGTCATGTGTCTGAGGCTGGATTTGAACTCAGGTCCTCCTGACTCCAGGGCTGGTGCTGTATCCACTATGCCAGCTAGCTGCCTTCAAGAATACTTTTTCATATTAAATTCAAATATCACCTCTCAAGACAAAGTTACAGCCCCCTTCTCAAAAATCCTTAATATGAAAGACATTCAGTGTTCACAATTATTAAATATGGTTTTGATCTTTGAGTTTGAGGGAGAAAATTTATTCTATTGAAATATATTTGAATTAACTGTGATCCACTAGAAAGGAAACAAGGTCTTAATGAAGATCAACCGAGGCACTCAGATATTATTCTGATGTAGTGGTATGTGCCCAGCACTGGGAGAGCTTATTTCTAGTCTAGACCCTGCTGCTTCTTAGCTATGGAAAATCAGGTTAGTACCCTGGGTCAAGTCACCCACATAACTAACTGCATAAGCACCAGGTGCCAGAGGCCTGGTTTGACAGCGATTCATGTGAAAAGGCCTCTTGGAGGCTTAAGCAGGTTCCAAGGCTCAACATGAGTCAGTAGTGTGCTACATATGGCAGCCAAAGGAACCGAGGTGATCTGCGTTTAAAAAGGGAGAGTGTTCAGAACAAGGGAGATAACAGTCACACCATACTCTGCCCTGGTTAGACCATATCTGGAATATCATGTTAAGTTCTGAGTGTTGAATTTTGCTAAGGACATTGAGAAACTAGGATATATCCAGGGTGGAGAGGTTACTAAGATATAAAACTATAAGAAGAGCAGTTGAATGAACATATTTTATCTTGGAGAAGATAAAATTCAACAATTATTGAGCAGTGTGGTATGGAGTCAGAAAGATGTAGGTTCAAATCCTACCTCAGATATTTCTCAGATGTATGATCCTGAGCAAGTCTCTAAACCTCTCCGAGCCTCCGTTCCCTCATCTGTAAAATGAAAGAGTTGGACTCTGTTTCCTAGGGAAACAAAGTAAACCAGTCTCTGACCAAAAGGAGCTCATATTTTACTGGGGGTAGTGGGGTGGGGATGGAAAGAAAATAGCATTTGTTATTGTTATTGTTCAGTTGTGACTAACTCTTTGTGATCCCATTTGGGGTT